CTCTCTCCATCAATGAAAAGACCAACAGGTCTAAAGAACTGAAATGCAACATCTCTTCTGTTGCAGTTGAAGAACCCACCATAAACCTTGTGTGCCCCATTGAAAAGAAAGGGATAAACAAGTTTATGGATTACAAAGAACCAGAAGACAAAACCATCCAAGCACACTTTGTGATGTCAGTGGGGAAACTAGAAGAAGCTAAGAAAATTAATCCAAACAATAGTCTTCTTTGAAAGATCACTATGGCCACTGAGTTGGCCCAAGAAGAACACAAAAAGAAACTGAAAGCTGTCCTCCCAGAAGAATACAAGGATTTTGCCTCAGTTTTTGAAAAACCCTCCAATGGGGTCCTACCTCCATTGCAACCTTATGATCATGCCATCAACCTTGTTGAGAACTTCATCCCCAAGGTGGCTAAAGCATACCCACTCTCTCCCTCCAAAAGAGAGTCTGCCAAGAAATTCATCAAAGAAAATCTTTGAGAAGGAAAGATCTGCCCCTTGAAGTCTCCTCAAGCCACACCCTTCTTTTTTGTACAAAAGAAGGATGGCTCCCTCCACCCCTGCCAAGATTATTGTTATCTGGACAAAAACATGGTGAAGGATGCATATCCCCTTCCCCTCATTTCAGACCTCATTGATAAACTTAAGGGAGCATCTATCTTCACAAAGATGGATGTAAGATCAGGCTACAATAATGTCCACATCAAAGAAGGAGACCAATGGAAAGCCACATTTATCATGCATAAAGGACTCTTTGAACCAACTGTCATGTTCTTCAGGTTGTGCAACTCCCCTGCCACCTTCCAACAATTCATGAATGACTCATTTAGAGACATGATCGCTAAAGGATGGCTGGTCACCTACATGGATGACCTCCTTATCTTCTCCACCAACCCAGAAGAACATAAGCAAAGAACTTGTCATGTTCTTGAATGAATGAGGGAGCTGTCACTCCCCCTCAAGTTGGAAAAATGCCACTTCAATCTCTCTGAGGTTGAATACCTTGGAATGACCATCAAGGAGAATACCATCACCATGGATCCCGTAAAGGTCCAAGGTATTGCAGATTGGCCTGTCCCAAAGAAGGTCAAGGATGTGCAATCCTTCTTAGGATTTGCAAACTTTTACAGAAGATTCATCCCCTATTACCCGGACATTGCCTGACCTCTAATCAACCTCACCAAGAAGACAACTGCTTGGGAGTGGTTGAAGAAATGCCAAACTGCCTTTGATCTCCTAAAAAGGATCTTCATGGCACAACTGATCCTTCGAATGCCCAACACTTCTTGGCCATTTGCAATAACAACTGACATGTCCAAATATGCAACTGGAGGCATTCTCCTCCAAGAAGACTCCAATGGCCAGTGGCAACCCTGTGCCTTCATTTCCCAGTCCTTTAACCCTGCAGAGTGGAACCATGACATCTATGATAGGGAATTACATCAGTAGACCACTTTGTGAGCTGGTAGTCCTAGGGAATCTGGCCAGCAAAAGTGATTTACTGATGTACTAGGGGTTATTCATGGGTTAAAGTCTTGGAGACATTACCTCCATGGATTGCCATTCCTGGTCAAGGTGTTCACTGATCACAAGAATTTGACCTAATTTAAGGCACCCCAGAATCTAAACTGTTGCCAGGCATGCTGGCTACTAGACCTTGCAGACTTTGATCTGCAACTCAAACATGTCCCAGGCAAAGACCTGGCTGCTCCTGATGCACTCTCCTGACGACCTGACTGCATTCCCAATGATGATGAAGATAACAAAGGAGTTACCCTTCTCCCACAGACACTGTTTGTTAATCTCATTGACACAGCTCTCACTCAAAAGGTCATGTCCTCCTCCATGAAAGACCCTGTGGTCCAGACAGCACTTCATGCCATTGAAAACATTGATATGCCACTTCCATTCAAATCCCACCTCTCCAATTGGAGATTTGATAATGGGGTATTACTTTATAAAGCCCAGATTTACATCCCAGACAACCCTGCCCTCCACCAAATTGTCATATCCAACCACCATGACCACCCCTCTGCTGGACACCCCAGTGTCTTAAAAACCCAACAGCTTGTCTCCTCTGAGTTCTGGTGGCCTGGACTTGCTTCATTTGTCTGGAACTATGTTGACAGCTGTGCTATATGCCAGCAAAATAAAGTAAACATCCACCCAATGACACCACCCCTTACACCCATCCCCTCAACCTCAACCCACCCCTTCCAGCAGATCTCTTGCAATCTGGTTACTGACCTTCCCCTTTCTAAGGGATATGACTCTCTCTTGGTCATGGTCAACCATGGGCTTACAAAGGGGGTAATTTTAACACCCACAAAGAAAACTGCCTCTGCTGCTGACATTGTGGCATTCTTTTTCAAGAAAGTCTACTCCCATTTCAGGTTGTACAACAAAATCATATCCAACAGAGGCCCTCAGTTTGCCTCCACATTTGCAAAAGAGCTCACTTCCCTCCTAGGATACTCCCTTGCCCTCTCAATGGCATATCACCCTCAGATGGATGGAGAAATGGAATGCATAAATCAGGAAGTTGAAACATACCTCTGAATCTTCTGCCAGAATGACCCCACCTCATGGGTGGACAACCTCCCCATGGCAGAATTCATGCATAATCACTGCCCTCACTCTGTCACCCATCAATCACCCTTCTACCTCATGTATGGGTATGAACCAAAACCCCTCCCATCCCTTATCACAGAAACCCACCTTCCTGCCACCAAGTCTGGACTCAAGGAACTCCAAAATGCTAGAGAAGAAGCCATCACAGCACATGATCTAGCTAGAAAAACAATGAAGGACCACTTATCACAACCCTTCTCCCCTTTCCAGAAAGGAGATAAGGTCTGGCTTGAGGCACAAAATTTGAAATGCTCCTATGAAAATAGAAAGATCACCCCAAAACAAGAAGGACCCTTTGTCATCTCCAAGGTTCTATCTCTGATTACCTACTGCCTCACAATTCCCACATGATGGAAGATCCATAACGTCTTCCATGCCTCCCTTTTATCATCCTACCATGAAAATGACATTCACAGGCCAAACTTCCCAGCTCCACCACCTGACCTGATCAATGAGGAAGAAGAATACAAGGTTGAGGCAATAGTTGGCCATAAAAGGTCAGGCCATGGACATGCCTTTTTAATCAAATGGAAGGGTTATCCTTCATCTGAAAACTCATGGCAGAAAGAAACACACACTTCCCTAAGGATTTTCCCCCCTCAGAAACAACCCACTCAACACTCTACTCACACCATCAGAAGAATCCTCATAGAAATGCCCCCTCATCATTACACTTACCCCCATGAACCTTCTCACCACCACACCCCCTTCACTCATTGCCAATGACAGCCTGCTAGTGATCAGATGATCACTTTATATCACCTTTTCATCACCAACCCCACCATCATCAGCACTGTCTATCATGAGGTTGATGAAAACTCCCCTCTCAATCTAGTTTATCATGCCACCATCCAAGCCCTTTGGCTTGAGTAGTTGTCCTGATACATCAATCAACAGAATCCTCTTCTGTCCCCTGCATGCACCATTCTAAATGAAATAGCATATGAACAAGTTCCTCTTCTCCTCTGACTCTTTGATATGCTCAGTGGAGCTGACCTCATCTACAACATTCATCAGTACCCCACTTTGATTGCTCCTCCCCCTCCTGGGTCTAGAAGACCTTTGACTGCAACCTCCCCTCCAGTCTCCTCCATGTCCCCCCTCTGGTGTCATCACCATTATCCTCCCAATCCTCCCACTTGTCTCACTCTCTCAGAAGAGCTGATAGACCTTGTGCCTGCTGCTTGTCAGGCCCTAACCCACAACCTTGCAAGTCTCATGACTCCCCATCTGAAGTTGATCCCAAGACTGCCTTTGGTGTCTCCAGAGCCGAACTTGACTATACCCTAAACATCATTGAGACTCTCACACAGTTGCCCCCATCTCCTGTGTTGAATGCACTCGCTGAGGCTGATTGTCCTCTTACCCCTTCCGATCCATGCTATCATCAAACATGTTATGTCTGCTGCTGTCTTGGACACGTTCACATTAATTGTGGACTTTATGAGTGTCCACTCTGTCATGAGACTCATCCTGGGCATACCCAGACTCAATGCCTGTCCTTATGCCCTTGCTGCCTGCTACAAGACAGAATTGCCACCCCTGGAGTGGTAGATGATCATACCCTCATTGGGAGTGAGGATGACAACTTATATGACAACAATTTTGATTTTGATGTCTCCACCATTAGCAACATGACCAGAGAGCCTTATGGAGAGTAGTTGAAGTCAGGGACTTCAACACTTAGAAAGGGGGTAATGTTATGTTTCACCCCTATTTCTTCTTTTCACTTAGTGTTTACCTCATGTTTGACCTGTTGGACTATCTTTCCTTTTCAAGCCATCTCCTCTCTGATCTGATGGCTTGCTATCTCCACCACTAGCATTACTTGCTCTTTACATGCTTAGGACATGTGTCACTATTGTTCAACCAATAGTGTAGTCACCTTGTTACATGCAGATGCCTCATGGTCTGTCTCTTGTGTAGTATTTAGGCTGTCAGCTCAAGTCCTGGAAACCCAGACTTGAGCTACTCAATCATATGCAGCATTCTCTCAGAACTTCACCCTCAGTGTCCCTAACCCAGACCACTCTTACCAGCATTGACCAAATCCTTTGTCATTTACAAAGGTTACTGCAGCTGTTGCTCAGTAGAAACCCATTGTCTGCATTTGAACTCTCCCTACATCTTGACTTTGGTCAAGCATAACAATTCCTATGATCAGTCTCCAAATCAGTATTCTACAGAATGGAAAATAATGAACTCACATTTTCATGAGTGCATGCATGTTTACAGTGTCCATCCTCTATGGTTCCAAGTCACCTTTTCACCATTGCTTGGATAACAGCTGCATGACAAGTGAGTTTTTCCAAGCTGTGGCCTGTGTGGGGTCTGGCCTGGGAGGATCAAAGGTGTTCCTTTTCTTCTTCAGTCCCAACCTCCACAAAATGACAGTACATCTGCAAAACTACCCAAGGGAATGAGCAGGTTATACCTGCCTCCGTTTGGAAGTGACTTGTCATAAGGCTCGCTAAGACACTTGTTGGCCAATGAGAGGGCTCACTCAAGTGCGAAAGAGCTGTTAACAGCCGCGTCGCGTAGCTGTTTCCCAGATGTGGGGTGGAAATCGCTTCTGATCGACGCGACGGCGCAGCGCTGACTCAGCGCTGACCCCATCCCTTTGCGTAAGCTCCCAATCATACCACGAATGCCAATATGGTTTCTCGGATCGGAGCCACACGTCGTCGTCCACATCCCCCTCAATCAGTCTGAGCCAAAGCGCTTGTCGCATCCGGCAGTGGTAGTGGCGCATCCTGCCCATCAAGTCCTGAATGACATCGAAGATAAACAACATCCTCCATTCTTTTGGCGGTTCCCCTTCAGACCGCCGTCGGATAAAGCTCTCGTCATCTGCCAAGGCACTACCCTGCTGGGACCTGCTGCTAAAAAAGGTCACCCTCATCGTCGATGAAAACCGCGTGTCCGCGTCATACAGCCCACTCACATAACATCCTGGGACATCCGGACGACCGTGCTGGTGCTACTGTCAAGTCCTTCCAAACTGCCACCAGAATGTGAACGTTGGAAGCTGGTATATGCGGCGTCCTTGGACATGAGTGAAGTACCCAAGTTGGACACGAACGACGACGGACGCCACCCACGCTGGGCAACGCGCCGGTCACCATTAGAAGAGTTGGTGAGCATGCTCGGGTATGCATTCTCTGAACACGACGGAGGGTAACTGAAGGACATGATAAACGAAGGGATCGTTTCGTTGCGATAGCTGGGTGAGGGGCAATTAGCACGATCGTGCAATAGAATGGCTTTTATGCCGAAAGTAAGCACTGGTTGGTGGGCGCACATCACACATGAGACCGTTTTAAGGAACGACAGGGCTCTGTCAGTACTTCATTTCTAGTCTAGCTTTATCGGAATGCAGTGTTCAAGGTGGTTTCAGGATCTACATGTGAGGTTCACAGCAAACTGCGCCATCTGATTGATCGATGGAGGTATGTAGGTCTGTCATATGCGTTTGAGGTGTATTCATAACCAACGAAACAGGTAATCCTGGACACATGGTCCACCGCGCACTGCGGAATCACAAATTAATTCCCCACCCGACGCTGACAACAAGTTCGACATAACTCGGGAGTGTTATTCCTGCTCTGACAACGAATCATAAGACAGGTACCTGATCATACTGCCAAAATGACGAATCCAATCGACCAACTGTGCTAGGACTTGAGCATAGTCGTCGGTTGCGTGTATGTTGGCAAAGGGGGTGAACTGTGACATGAACTGGATAGCAAGATCCATAGCTGACTAGCAGTGGGGGGGAAATGGCGATTTCCATCGCCTTTTAAATTGTGAGGGATGTACGACGCGCCAGTGATGGAAGAGGTTGACGGAAACTTACTGGGTGCACGACACATGGTTCCGACGCACTGTTGTCCCATCCCATTTGCTTACGAGCAAGGAGGAGGATGTCTGCACACAGGAATTTCCCTCATAAGGGCCTCCGTAAGTTTGGGGTATCCATTGCAATATACGGAACCATGGGAATTAGGCAAGGAGCGGAGGAGAATGTTTGAGACGTTACTGTAAAAAGGAAGCCAGCATCCGTCATGGATGGGCGAGCCGTGGTGCCAGTAACCTTTCCCTTCGGCGACTGCAGTGACCTGCCAATATGAGGACAGGAGGGAATTTACATAAGGTTGCCCAGTCCCATCGAAGAAAAGCCTTATCGTTTTCGCTTCCAGCCCTGCCAGGTACTACTCAATCAACTTCGATTGAGAGCTGACCAAGTCACAGTGGGCTGATAGTGCACCAGGGCCGCAGTGGGCCCGCCGTCACTATGTGCCTGCCCACGGCAATTACGGTGAGCCCCCCTTCGCTAAATGTCGTTTAAGTATGACTTTAATGATTCCCCAGGCTAAATAATCCATACATCGGTGTCCTTCCCCGTCAGACCGACCTTGGGTTATCACAATCATACTATATCAGTCAAAATATAGGTGAGCTTCTATACATGACATCCGTCCTGCTGGCCCATCATCTCCAAATCTTTTGCTAATGGACTCTTCCACAACGTAAGGGTAACAAACATGTAAACGGTAAGGGCCATTTCCCGAGCTCGCCTTAGGATGGGGACAGCTTGAGAAAAGTAAGAAAAAGGGCCACTTTACATGATCACGATTTGAGACTATTTCGTAGAGGCCTGGAAATGTCAACCGGAATGTTGACTGAACGCCGTTCCACCGTAAATTCCTGAGGTCAACCCACGTTAACCCAATCTATCCACTCTGCTATGGCGAGAAACACGACCACACAAGGACAATGGAGCGAACTCCTCAGCCGTATGGACGGTGTTAAGGTAAAAAAATAACACCATGTAACAAAGCCAACGTACTTCAGGTAGCCTTGATACTATCCACGAGTGAGAAGAGATTGTAAGTACGAAATATGAGATTGATATGTCACACGGATATCCCATGCCCAATGCTTGGTAAAGGGCAAACTGGTAGTGAGGTCCATGGTCAACTCACCCTTCAGAGTGATTCCACAGGTAGATTGCAAGCAGCGTCCATGAGTTTATGAGGAGCATGGCCAAGGAAGGCAAAAAAAGTGACAAGAACACACGATTAATGTACTTTTTTAGACGAAGCTTAGGAGCTCGCCATGCCACTACTCGAGTCATCAGGAATTGATAGGCCAGGGGGGGAGTAGGATTTTGAATACTTATCACTGATAGAAGGAAGTAGATAGTCATCCGTGTCCCTGATGAATACGTGGAATTTACATTCCTGATGATGTCCACGAATAGAACAGTGCTTAATACTCACCTGATAAGTATGTATTACAGGGTTAGGAATCATCAGGGGAAGAGTACCCCGGCGTTCGGGCATTTGAGAGTAAGATGAAACCGATAGAACCCACACGAATAAAACCGACGGCATCACACTGCAGTGGCACGATGTAAATGTCGGTTGTCGACATGTGCCTTGTTGTTTAGTACAATATGAGGCTCCTGAGGATGAGGAGGATGTTCGCATTCGGAACCTTACCGGACTTGGAGGGGCTTGGAACCTCGCCTTGGCGGATTGACTAGACGGGTCTTCTAATTAGCGATCAAGTGGCCCTGCCTCTTTACCACCACGGAGTAGATGCCGGTGGAAAAGAATGTAGGACGTGTGAGAATCAAACAATGAGGCTAGCGCTTGTGATGCAGCGGCTACTCGTCATACGTGTGTGTCTATGATTGCCAGCCATTTCCGTGAGGATCTGGGGGAGGCCCGACTGGTCTAAAACTCAAGAACTTCAAAGATCACTGCGTGAGGGAAAGTTATTGCCTCACATACTCTAGTAATTCAGGAGACAATCCTGAGGCTGTAATTAACTTCCTCTGCATTGCGTGTAGTATGAGGTCCTTGAGGATACGTGGCTACGGGCTGCTGGTGTTAGAGCGAATAGCAGAAAACAGTGGCGGCAACTACCGAAAACGAATCCCACGATTACTTGTGAAATCCCTGGTTATGATCATGGATGTTGAACCAATGATAGAAAGGTGAAGAAGACTTGTTACAAGGGAATCTCATGGGCTGCGCTGCCTGAGCATATGGCATGTCTACAGGTTTTACCTGGACCTAAAACTGGCTCACAAAGAACCGCATCATACGATTCTTCAGAATGTATGGCCTATATTGTGCAAGTAGGTATACTGAGAAAACAAACAGAGAATCCGAGGTACAAATTTATGGAACGCAGCAGATGGTGACACTACAGATGAACGTCATTCCTTCTCTGCCCCCAAAGACGTGGCATGCAGCAGATGATGGCTAACACAGACGCCAAGGCGGAAACGTCAAGCATGGTACTCAGGCGCTGGATCGAATGCACTCCGCCCCTCAGACGAATGGAGATGCCCATTGTGATCCACCGAGGACTCGATACCATCATCATTGATAGGCTGTGGCGAGCCGGTCTAGGTGTCACGTCAATAAGGATTAAGGTGCACAAGCCTCGTTCGTACCCTCTTAATCTTCGAGCGACCCGTCACAGCCGAGGTTATGCCTCAACGTCAAACCCATTTCGTTCAAGTGCACGTTGTGGTGTTCTTCTATTGACAATGCACCCTCGTATTTCATGAGCACCTGATAGTATCAATGGGAATATCACTGGGAACATGCTCGCCACTATGAGGCTACATGCAACGGCCGGGGAGTCTGCTATCACGACGATTTCGACGATGCGGATGATGATCACACCCAGGCGAGGGATAGCAGCCAGGATGGCAAAAGTACGAGGACCAATGGCACGGATACGTCCCTGCATAGCTCAACCAACATGAATACGTGGCAGAGAGAAGGGTGCCTTACTTGTAACTCCTCAGAGGTCAACCCACTGTAGCGCAAATGCATCAACTCGACCATGGCCAGAAGCATAAGTGCACACAGGACGATATAGGTATTGTCGGCGCGGATGTTTGGGCTGCGTGGACGATGTTAGAGTAACAGTAGTGCATGTAGTGACACTGGCATACTTCAGGTAGCTTCGATACTATCCGCAAATGAGAGGACACCATAGATACGGGAAGAGGGAGTGACATACCGCGTCAATATCCCATTCCCAATACTCAATCAAATATGCCAGGGCGTGAGCGTAGTCATCGGTTGCGCGTATGGGAGCGAGTTGCAAGATGAATTGGATAGCAAGATCCATAGCTGGGTAGCGGTGAGGGGACAGATGGGACGGTTTCCTTCGCCTCCTTTTAAATTGTGAACAGTGGATGGACGCGCTAGCGATGGGAAGGGTTGACGGAAACCTGCAGCTCGTCCGTACATTTGCTCATAAGCAAGGAGGAGGATGTTCACATCTGGTAATTTTCTTGATGAGGCTACAAGTGCGGTGCAAGCTGGTCCCCCACTGGAGTTGGTGGCGCAATTACGGACCCTCAGTTGTCTCAGACACTCACGGACACCACGCGTAGAGAGGAGGAGGATGTTGAAAAATTACCGTAAAAAGGAAACATTCGAGTTCCTCGCAGAATTCATATTAAATGAAGGGTCCATAGTCGATTGAACGCAGAGTCGCGACCCAGGTATGAGGATGATGTCCCCACATAGAAATAAACCCGAATATGTAAATTTTTTGTGAGACCAGGAACCTTTCCGGTCCGCCGCCCTTGTGGTTTTAGCATGCAGCCACGTGTTGGAGTGACATGCACTGGCGTTGATCTAGAAAAAAGGATGCATTATGAGGATGAGGATGATGATAATGATAAAAACTTGCCATAGGAGGGAAAAGAAGCCAGGACTGACATCACGCAAAAAATTGACAGAACCGGTATACTGCATGACCGCCACAGCATGGGATTACAAACTCACCTTCGGCAAGAATGGCACACGCTGCAGTACTATTTCAACCAAACCAGAGTTTTCGTGTCCCGTTTGACGATTGGCATACCAGGATGTTGAAGTAGCCCAAGTTTCTTTCCGCCGGGGCGGGCGAGCGGACTGCGCCGCCGGCCAATTGCATGTCCTTACATAGGGGTACTACAGCTTGTCGCCATCCTTGATACGATCTCATACCATGATACTTTTCGTAGGTTGACGTGCTGGAAGGACATAAACCTGCGAATAGAAGTCAAACTGGGATCAAACAGGTGGTTATTTGAATCTTGACATCCGGAAAAAGATGCTCTCATCACGCTGACCGACTTTCGAAACTAAATTGGGCTGAGTTCCTAATGGCACTAGAACCACCTAGTGTATCCTTGCATTCCATAGGCAGATACATCCACCTTCAGTTCCTGATACAATCTGCCTGCCATCAGGTGAAAATGTAACACAACGAACCCAGCCAGCATTTCCTTTTAGAGGTGCGCCAAGACGGTCACCGTTGTGCGCATCCCAGAGAAAGGCGTTGGCGTCCATAGAACCCGATACTAACTGCGCTCCACACGGAGAGAACGCGACCGAGGTGACTTCATCACCGTGCCCTTCGAGATGATGGTCAACTTGAGAGCTGTTGCGCACATCCCATATACAGAGACTCTTATCCTCAGAACTCGACGCGACTTTCCTCCCATCCGGGGAAAAGGCAACTGACCAAACCATACCAGTGTGCCCTTCGAAAGGGCGCCCCACCTGTACTCCGGCGCGCAAATCCCATAAACGAAGGGTCTTGTCATAGGAACCAGATGCAATTGTGCAATCACGAGAAACTGCAACCGACTGTATTTTGTCAGTATGCCCTATGAGTGCGCGGACTTTAGCTCTGGTTTGGACATCCCACAGACAGATGGTTTGGTCAGCAGAACCCGAGACTACTCCACTGCCGTTCGGAGAAAACACGACCGAGAACACCCTCCCAGCGTGCCCTTGCAGAGGTGGGCCGCTCTGCACACCCGTCCGCGCGTTCCACAGGCGAATAGTGCTGTCATAAGAACCTGACGCAATCAACTCTCCATTCGGCGAGAATGCAACTGATCGAACCCAGTCCAGGTGGCCTGTAAAGAGAGAACCAACTTGTGTTCGACTGTGCACATCCCACTGGCAAACCAAACGGTTAGCAGAGCCTGATATAATACGCCTGCCATCAGGTGAGAAGGCCATTGACAAAATCTTGTCAGCATGCCCCTTAAGTGTCTGAATGTGTACCAAGCACGTAGTGAGTTAAGTGCCCCTAGATTGAAATAATAATTGGACCCACTGTACATGGAAGCAAACAATCATCGACCGTGATTGGAGTTGTTCGTGGACCGCCACCAGCAGAGGACAAACGCGACTGAAGCGTACTCGATCAGAAAGTTAGAAATCACACCAAATGTCACAGGACAGACCACAGTATTTACGGTGAGGGGATACGCATGGACAGAAGGTCTAGATGTGGCAGGGCCAAACGCGTGCTGCAAAACTCAGCGAGGACACAGAAAATCTGAAGGGTCAAATACAGACCACAGCTCTCCGAACCTTCTCCACGATGGCCTCTATCGTAGGGCGCAATGAAGGATCCATTCTCCAGCATGAAGTGCATATATCCCACCATGGATCCGTCATGCGAAATTCTGTCAAGCCCGCAGGGGGGCGATGTGGCAATGGCCCCCATGATATCCTATACACCACACTGGCCATGTTGAAACAATCATGAAAAGGTCGTGATCGTGTAAACAATTCCTATAGATACAATGAACATCACCACAAAGGAGAGGCCAGAAGGCATACCAGAGCCGTCATTCCAAATGCCCATACATCAGCTGCACTTGACGTACATCCATCATTTAGGAGCTCTGGGGCCATCCAAGGAAACGAGCCTCCGCGGATGTCCTCAGTGGTCATGTTGAAGCTGGATATACTTAAGGTGGAAAGACCGAAGTCGCCCAATAGTGCCCGGCGATCACTGGACACCAGCACATTTGGCTATCGAAGGATGAGTCAAATAGAAAAGTGATAAACCGAGCACGCTTACACCCTTCAGATCTCCGTGGACTACTGGACCTAACTCATGACTATGAAGATAGTACAGTCCGTTTGCGATGTCTTGAAGCTAAACGAGTACGTCAAGTGGTGCGAAAGTAAACGGAATACCCTCAGTTCGACTCACCAGCGGCCGTGGATCATTTGCTGTGTCTTGGACATATGTGTGTGCGTCCCCCATCGGCATCCACTCAGATATTATCGAAATTGTGGAGTCAAATTCTGTGGAGATCCCGAACAAGGGAACGATGTTCTCGTGATGCAGTTTCGACCATGTATGTACCTCTCGAAACAGACGCTGAATGGGGAAAGACTCAGACCAAGCCATGTGACGAACATCTGGAATCGGAACCTTGCAAGTACGTACCTTCAACTCAGCCTCAGTCCCCGACATTGCAGTGTGGAAGGTTTTGATTGCCACTTCGGTACCGTTTGAAATCAAAGTACCTCGGTACACGATGGCAGTACTGCCACGCAGGGGCCCGCTTCTCCAGTCGCGGATAATTTGACCGCTGAGATCGATACTATATTCGGATGCCGATGCCCGAGCACAGTACTCGCGTAAGAGAGAGGATTGGTTCATTGCTTATTGTTGATGCGGGGTGTGTTATAGCGGCGCTACTTTCAAATCAGTGATAGCCGCCCGGTGAGATGGCTACACGTTAAGAATCTAAAATTCGCATGACCCCGTGCTCTCCTGGAACACGTGGAGATGGGGTTGGTCATGCCACTGCCAACAAGCGCTCTTCTGGAGGCATGCGTTCTGGAGTGAGGTGAAGCTGATGGGAAAACCCGATTCCTTTTCCATCAAGAACGACTGACCGTCATATAACAACGAAGGCTTCCATCCTTGAGGACGCAGAAACAATTTCCTGAAACATAACTCATGAGAATGGTTGGACATGGTTCAAATATGGCCCCTTCGTCTAGGTAGGTCTTATAGAATGTCGTGAAAACACCTACTTGGGCCAACGACTCGATCTATCAGGACACTGTCGATCACAAGAGGTTGTCGAGTTTATCCAGACAGTAAGTGTGAACAGTAATCAGTGGTTTCTGTTGCGAACGATGCCAGCGTACATGCATCGTGCTCGGCTTCGATTCGAGCGGAACCCTTGTGGATCAGGTCTACCCTCGTTTACAGTAAAGCACCCGGCTCGCAAGCTCTGAACAGTGAAACCCTCCGATCCGATTTCCTGCTTGTATTGAATTTCCTCCGAAATTCGACCAGGACGAGACGACGTGGAATCCGGGCTCGATGTTGAACACGATAGACGAGCGGTAGAGCGCAATTTAAATGCCTCGAAAACCTTTCCAGCGTTATGAAATATCAATGTCCCAACAACTCGAGACATTCCACGGCCTCCCTAAGCAGATCAGAGGTACAGTTGAAGATGGCCGACTGCTATACGCTCCCCGCAAACGCGACAGTGGTTGGCAGGAAGCGTGGAAGTCGGTACTTATTGGACGTTCTGATTGCGGGTACTGTTTACCCAAAGTCCCGAAAAGCAACCGAGCTTCGCCTTTACATTGATGCTTGTATCATACATATTTTCTACGCAGGACGACGGAGTATACATACCTGTAGACTTTGCAGACAGTATTGATTACCCAGCTCTCTACGGCTCGTGCGACGACGTCCAGGACTCCGGAGTTGTTGGAATCTCGGAGAGGACCAGATTTATGCTAGTATAGTCTGTTACATACAACTCCAAATTCTCTCACTGTATGTCAAAACCTCCACCGTAGCAGGACCACACTAAGAATTGCCGCAACCGCGAACGAAAATAATGCTAGGCTTCTATGAGCTCCAGCTGATAATACTCATATCCGCCTGCCTCCTCTTTCTTCTCGTCGAGCGCCATGTATCCACACGAAAACGAACGGCTGCTTTCAAGGGCCACGACCCAGACAACCTCGAAAATGGAGGGACCACTACACCCGTCAACGCTCTTGCGACCCTCACCAGGCGCTATTTGGTGGTCTACGCAATCGTGATGGGTGAGTTCTTCCCGCCGTGTCCCTTCGTCGCTCAAGGACCTGCAATCTCCCGTCCTTCCCATCCCATCGCTGTGGTTCTGGACCTGTGATCGTGTCAATGTCTAGGCGCCGACTGGCTGCAAGGGCCTTACGTGTATTCGCTCTATCATGAGCAATATGAGCTGCCGGAGCGAATGGTCGCGGTTTTGTTCGTTACAGGCTTTATGAGTGCTGGTCTCACCGCTCCCCTAGTCGGCGTATGGGCAGATCAACAGTGCGTCCTTTTCCGTGATACTCTGACTGTCATATTAACCAACTATATCCACTGAAGTGGACGCAAGAAACTCTGCCTAGTGTTCTGCTTCACATATATCTTCTCGTGCTTCTGCGTAACAATACCGTACCTCCCTGTCTTGTTACTCGGACGCGTTACTGGAGGCATCTCCACTTCGATACTGTTCTCAGTATTTGAATCGTGGTTGGTTTCTGCTGCAAGTTCCTTAACGATCCCTTCCTCCGACCTCTCGATCATCTTTGGACGCGCGACTCTCGTAAATGGATTTGTGGCTACTGCTGCAGGTGTTGTCAGCAATCAACTCGTCTCGCTAACCAATTCCTTTGTCTCGCCTTTCGTGGCAAGTGCAACATTGCTCGTTCTGGCTTATATCGTCATCAAGGCTAGCTGGACAGAAAACTTTGGAGGAGGAGGGGGTACGACAACCGTGGCTAGCAGCGACCCTTTGCAACTCAAGCGCCTCGGCCAGGCCTGGCGGATCGCTTCGCGCTGGCGAGTTTTCTCCCTTAGTATCTCATTCAATGACTGAATAGTGACCATTATGCAGATCCCATGCTGCTGGCGATAGGACTCACACAAACCTGTTTCGAGGGCTCCATGTACCTCTTCGTATTCCTCTGGGTACCTTTCTTGCAGGAGGCGTCTCCTACATTCCCAGCCATACCTCTTCCCCTGGGATACATATTTTCCTCGTTCATGATCTCTATGATGCTCGGGTCCCTTCTCTATACCGTCGTCTGCGCATGGGCTCCGGGCTCGCCGAACGACTCATCGTTGACTATCCACGCAAAACTAAGTAGTATCGTCTGTGCAGTGAGTGGACTCGCCCTCGCTATAAGCGTGCACTCCCCAGAAGAGTCTACGCGATTCTGGGCGTTCTGTGCTTTTGAGGCGTGTGTGGGTGCGTATTACCCTGTGCAGGGTATGCTTCGCGGAACCCTCATCGCCAACGAGCACCGTGCAACGGTATGTCCCACCTTCCCCTTTCTTTTCAATTGTGCACTATACTGACCAAAATGTAAATCCCAGCTCTCCGCTCTATTCCGCGTGCCTCTGAATGTATTTGTCGTGGTATCGCTCCTGACCGGTGTATCCTCCGCTCGACATGCAGTCCTTTCCGCGAGCTCGCTGATGCTTTCTTCTTCGGCGCTCATGACTGCATTTTTCCTTGTTGGGCGAACGGAGGATGTGGTACTATCAGAGCAAAATCTTCGACCTGCATAGGGTTAATATCCTATCGCCATTTTATCCTTGTTGCGGCCTACTCAAGGGACGCGGCGTACGACAGTCAGCGTCCCTTCTCGGCCAGTACTATCAGTCCAACTTCCGCCTACATACCGCTACTACACGTTTGACTCTGCCCGAAGTGAACTCCACTACGAATATGCAGTGCGAGTTTACTTGGTCACAGAGGACATTTTTAATAGACACTAGGAAAAATAGAGATGGGCTTGGATATATGGCTCGTTCTTAACTGTTTATGCTTGTAGATCCTTAGAGATACCCTGAAGAGTATAAGATAGGATGGTATTGTACATACGTACTGAGGAACGTATCTAGCATCAACCGCACTTTGGCAACCCGATCTCTGGCCCCGTGGGGTTGACGATCCCTTTGAAGAAGGAACGGCCCATCTTCTCCCTCGACTATAATTTATTCTCTGGTTTACAGTAAGCAAATCACCAGTGTGGCGGTGTTTAGCTGATATTCAATCTCCGATTCAATCGCGACAATTCGTTGGGTGAGATTTTCCTGTGGAGTTTGTCAGCCCTCCCTTTCTTCCTGTGCACTCCCCTCTGACCTCACTTCTAGCTCACCATGGACGTGGACATGCGCAACAAGGAAGACTTCGACGACAAAAGTGGTGTGGTAAGCGGGAGAGATCGTGACAGAGATCGAGACAGAGATAGGGACCGTGAATTTGACCGTGACAAGGACAGAGACAGAGAAAGAGAGCGGGACAGAGACAGGGACAGAGACCGTGAACGCGACCGAGACCGCGATCGTAGAGATCGTGATAGGGACCGTGAACGGGACAGAGACCGTGAGCGGAGGGACTCGGGTATGCACACGTTGCCCCTCAACAAACTCCTTTTTCTAACTTCTTGCTTATGACTAGGTCGCGGCCGTCGCACTGACCATTGGGAGCCCGAAGAGCGGCGAAATGGAGAGGTTGGTGGTTGATGCATGTCGCAACGTAGAAGTCGGTGTTGATGTTGGACGCAGCGGCGTAAGCGCTCTCGCAGTCGCAGTCGATCGAGGTCTCCTCGTAAACGGTCTGCGTCGCCGCGAGACCGGAGACACACTCGACGTTCCAGGTCGAGATCCCGCTCTCGGAGTCCGTCGAACTCTCGCAGTCGTGACCGCAGGGCCTCGGATCCGTTTGCTCGTTCCCTAGGTGGTCCCATGAATGCCCCTCACGAAGAAGCCGTCGAGTTCGGCAAGATCAGCAAAAGAGAAAACCGGGTTTATGTCGGCAATCTCAGTTACGATGTCAAGTATCGCGACCTAATGGAATTCATGAGGGGAGGTGGGTTGGGGAATCCCAGATTAGACATTTTTTCTTTATGCGAAAGAGGGGGAGAGATGAGGCAATGCCACTCACACGCATCCGCTCTACCGAAGCTCGCTCGTTTCTTGGAGAGAAAGGCAGCTGTAGTTGTTGGCCTGCGAATCGAGTCTGAGCTGATGAGGATGATTGGAGGAGAGTGGCAGTTCGCATTGGCGGCGGTGGCCCCTTTCAATTTTTTTTTCGCTAGTTTTGTGGTTGGATGGTTGGATGATTCGAGAGGATATTGATGGGAGTTTTCTTTCGGGGATTAATAGCTGGAGAGGTTCTCTTCGCCGAAGTACTCGTCACTCCAACTGGTGTCTCCAAGGGCTGCGGGTATGTACGCATCGTTTGCGCGCCGGGGTTGGTGCTAATTTTTCCCTCAGTATCGTCGAATTTGCTTCGCCTGAAGATTCACAAAGAGCCATTCGCGAGCTCTCTGAGGTCCCGCTTCTAGGTCGGCCTGTATTCATTCGTGAGGTATGTGTATGAATGGCCATCTCCCAGCTGAAACCTCATCTATTTGGTCAGGACCGTGAAAATGAATCGCGCTTCGGTGCGACCCCTGTCCCGGGAAAAATTGGTATGGCAATGGCAGGTCAAGGTCTTCACGCGCAGCCCCCTCCTCGCCCTGCACACCACAATTACTTTGGTACCCATCAGAATCCAGGCAATCAGCTTTACGTGGGGAATGTCTGTTCATTTATTCTTTCCCTCACTGTTCGTTGCACTGACAAAGCCAAATTCAGCTGCCTTACCAAGCGGGATGGCAGGACTTAAAAGATTTGTTTAGAGCTGCAGGAAATATCATCCGCGCCGATATCAACATTGGTGCTGATGGTCGCCCGAAGGGGTCGGGTACAGTTGTCTTTGAGACTTCAAAAGATGCCCAACAGGCAATCAGTGCGTTGTTTCAAAGTTTCATACTTCGTTTGACTAATGCACCACTCCACCAGGCATGTACAATGGTTTCGACTGGTACGGGCGCACCTTGGAAGTCCGTGAGGTAAGGAGGGTCCATATTATATTGTTTAAGGTGATTTTACGCCTTTATCTTCCAGGACCGTTACGCTGGCCTCTCTGGCCCGTTCCGTGGCTTTAGAGGCGGCTTCAGAGGCAGTGGCTTCCGTGGCGGCTTCCGAGGTGGTTATCGCGGTGGTTTCCGTGGAGGAGGAGGGGGAGGTTATGCACATGGTCCTGGTCGTGACTTCTCCAGTCAGGACCTGTATGCAGACTACCCCGGCCCCGACTCCGGTCATGGTGGACTCCGCATGGACAACTACGGAGGGTATGGTGGTGGTGGCGGTGGAGGTGGCGGCAGCGCTGGTACTGGTGCTGGCTACATGAGTAGCGGCTACGAGGCCGAGCCCAGCCAGCAAATCATGGTTCGCAACGTAGGTGTTGCGCTGGCGTGTCTTGTAACGGTGCTAACGGGGAGAATTATGTTAGCTTCCATGGTCGACGGCAAACGAGGACCTTGTAGAGTTGTTTGAGACTACAGGGCAGGTCGAACTAGCTGAAATTCTATTCGATGGGACGCGCTCCAAGGGATGTGGTGTCGTCCAGTTCTCGCAGGTCCCAGAAGCCGAGACTGCCATCGGTAGGTGTTGTGCTCAGCTGATTTTAAGGATGCATTCTGATGACAGTTGAAAAGCTAAATTCCAGCACTATATGTATGGTGGTCGTCCTTTGGACGTGCGCTTTAACGATCGCTGGCATACCTTCTCGCCATCGGCTGCCAAGGGTGGTCAAGTTATGCCTATGCAAGCGGATGGTTGAGAGGGCGCGCGTGATACGTAGTGACCAAGGATTGCCTTTATCTTTGTGACATGCTTCTATTCAAAACTGTGCAGATTTCAAGTTGGTGTCTCAGACATTCACACAGAATGATTTTGTTTTGTCTGTTCACGTTCCGACCGCAGGTACGAAAAAATATACACATGTAATGACTTGACCCATGTTCAGCTTTCCACAAGTGAGTCCTGTTACTCAGTGAGTCCCGGAATCCTGTGCCTGGAACTCCGCGGTTGAAATGTTGAACGTTAAAGTGTTGAGTCGTCAGTGACAGCTACAGCGGTGAGACAATTGCCACTCGGCATATTTCGGCACTAGTAATTATATATAAAATGGCGAGTTTGAATAATGAAATCTGACAGCTTGCGTGCTCGAACTTTGGCGCGAATCGTGCGAGAAAGTCGAGCGTTCGAGCGGGCCCGCCTGGCGGGGGGATCGCTGACCCGTGCCCCGGTATCGGATCTCAGACTGTCATTGCAAGCTGCGAGGGTTTTCGATGTGTCCTATGTCCCTCGAGACTTTCACTTATGTTCGCTGAATCGCAGGGACAGTCTGCCAGTTACTAGTCAAGAACACAGTTTGCCAACAGCACTCAGTGAATTTGTCCTTGCCCTACGCCTACACACGCATGAAATGAGAGCGACAAGTCCATTGCAAGCCCCTACACACGTGTGGCCCATGTTCACCGTTGGCGCTCATTTAGCGCGCAACTCTCTCGCTCAACGACCGTCACCGATGGAACAGCATGGCTGCTTACCAGATGCCGCGTATCAACAACAAACGATGGAGCGACCTTCCGTGCTACAGGTGCTCTCTCATCGGGCATCCAGATACAGTATCAATCTCGATGGTCAAATAAATCGCTCATTGAGAAGGGATCCTCTGCGTGGCAGTACCGCCAGTGTATACCACGGTACTTTGGTTCCAGAAGGTACCGAAGTCGCCATAAAAACCTTCCATGGCACAGTGACTGAGGACGAACTCAAGGTACTGACAGAATTTCCGATGTTTTGTCACGGGCCGGCCTGAATCCTTCCTATTCAGCGTGTGTTTCGAGAGGTGCACGTGTGGTCGAAACTGCGTCACGAGAACATCGTTCGCATGCTCGGGATCTCTACACAGTTTGACTACACAATTTCGATAATATCTGAATGGATGCCACTGGGGAATGCACATACGTATGTCCAAAACATAGAAAATGATCCACGACCGCTGGTGAGTCAATAGGGTGTGTCATTTACCTTCGTAGTACTTGACACCCCCCATTTAGCTTGAAGATGTCGCAAGAGGGCTGGACTATCTTCATAGTCATGAGTTGGGTCCAGTAGTCCATGGAGATCTGAAGGGTGTAAGCATGCTTGGTTTATCAATTTTGCAGTTGGCCCACCCCTCGATAGCTGAACGTGCTAGTATCCAGCGATCGCCGGGCGCTACTGAGCGACTTCGGTCTTACGACCCTAAACCTATCCACCTTCAACATGACCGTCGATGCCATCCGCGGAGGTTCGTGCCATTGGATGGCCCCAGAGCTTCTAGATGACTGCCCTGTATCAATGGAAAGTGATGTGTGGGCATTTGGGATGACGACTTTGGTGCGCCCTCCGATTTGTCCAATCGTGTAACATTCATCGTATGGCCAGGAGTTGTTCATTCGAGCAGTGCCTTTCCACGATTGTAATCACGCGGGAAATGTGTTCGGCAGGTTAATGAAGCGGGAACTGCCTCCTCGCCCCACCGAGCAGTCAACACAATTTCGCCTGTCGGATGCATGGTGGGCAATTTGCGCGTCATGCTGGAGATATGATCCTTCTTCCCGCCCTTCAATGAGGGGTATTATAGAGAAGGCCAAGACAGCCATGGTCTGTTTTTATCCCTTCCACTGAATTACGCGTGCCTTGACTGCATGTCGTAGCACCAAGCCTACCCTTCCCCATTGCCACCTGAAACTTCTGTCTCTGCGTACCCAATCTCGGTAGTGGCAGAAAGTCACCTGACACCGTGAGTCAGGATCCCTGGGCACCGACGGATAAGTATACTGACACTACGTATCTATCTGCTTTATACTCCATGCTATCATCGCTCGTCTGAACTTCCGCTGCCCCTCCTTAACAGGCAGACGCTGGATTTTGAGGTCACGGGAAGCGACGTTTCGAGAGGCCAGCTATCGGAAGGCCACAGTTTGATGAAGACTGCTCTGCAAGACCTAGCTGCTGACGCCGGCATGTCCCCTTCCGTGTCTTTTACAAGTAAACCAAGCACTCAACAAAAATCAGCTCTGAGTGATAAGTATGTGACACACGCTCCACCCAGAGCTGAGAACGATTCTGTCGAGTCGAAGCGAGACAACACAGAGGACGATGTTCGGCCAACGCGTGATATTGAGACAACAGGTGCGTGTTGGATCTTGGCTCTTATCCCGAATGACCCATTTCTCACCAGGATTGCCTCCGCGCTTCAGGGGTCATATGACATTGGAGAAAGAACCTCTGTCGGACGATATACGAGACACAGACACGAGGGACATTATAGTTGCGTGAGTAGTCTGTCGTGTTTGTAGCAACTTGGTCACTGTCTTTAACTGTCAGGTTAATGGGACCAACTGGTTCTGGGAAAAGTTCGGTGAGCTCCTCACGGAATATGTATTTAACATAAGCTGACTAGGTGTAGTTCATAGACAAAGCCACGGGGTGCACGGGTGCGGGTGTTGGACATGATTTAACGTCGTGCACAAGTGAGATCAAGGTCACAAGATGTGTGGTTGAACAATCCAACGTAGTTCTGGTAGACACTCCCGGGTTCGATGGTACAATGAAATCCAACTTGAAGGTCCTGGATATGATTTCCGACTGGCTGAACACAGAGTAAGCATTCCCGATATTCCAATTATACATGCTGTGAATTCTCAGCATCCGCTAAGATACCAGACCGGGGCCACGCTTTCGGCCCTTCTTTACTTTCATCGCATATCGGACAACCGAATGGCTGGGCTCCCATTGGGGACTCTTCGAATCTTCCGAAAGCTGTACGGAGAAAGTTCCATGCAGGATGTTACCCTGGTCACTACGATGTGGGATGAAGTGGAAGACGACGTTGGCCAGCAGCGGCTGGCGGAGCTCAAGGAGAGTTATTGGAAGATGATGATATCGCAAGGTGCTATGTCGTTTGAGCATATGAACACCCAAGCATCAGCCATGCAGTTACTTGTATCCATTGTCCACCGGAAGAGGGTGCAAGAAGGAGTCCTGCTGCAACAGGAGATTTCGGATTTGAAGTTGGAGTTGCGGGAGATTGCCACTGGGCCGGCACTGTGCTCTCATCTGGAAGACCTCGCAAGGAGGCAGATGGAGGCGCTTCGAAGAATCGAAGTTGCACGCAAGGGAGCAGACGAGAAGACCTTCCTAGACCTCTGCAAAGAATATGCTCAAGTGAAGTCTCAACTCAACGCTGCTTTGGTCGAGGCGCGAGCGTTGAGGATGCCGCCCCGAAATACCCTGAGCAAAGGTATCCGCATAGTATGGAGAAGTGAGTTAATTACTGCTCCTTTTCCTGTCGCGTGGACTTATGTATTTTTTTGCAGTGATTGGGGGTGAGAAGATGGTGAAGGGTCGAAGATCCATGTGATGAGATGGGTGGATTCATGATATTTATTTTCCTTTGTCACTTTCGATTCCTACCTCACGTTCTTACATAAGTGCTATTTCCCATTCCACTCCATTGACTGACTTCGAGTTGTTGCATTCCATCAAGATCTCCGAACCGGATTGACGTTAGGAGCGATGAAATAATAAGATTGGAGCGCATGCTCTCGGCAGAGCTGGCTCACCGAATTCCAATAGCATCACCCGAGTGCAATGGGTCCTTGTCAGCCGGGGGAGTAGTGCCACCTTCTTGGCCCTTTACTTTGATACTTGCAAGTTTTCACAGTACCCCGTCACTTGGACAAGGACAGAGCACTAGGTCAGTCATCGTCTTCCATTTCCCCTTTGACCCTTGGCGGCCTTGTGTCTGCTGCCGGTCCACCCCTCTTTGTCATTACCATTAGCACAATATATCCCCACTGCTGCAGTCCAAGTGCAGGTGCTGGCCGCAGCTTGTGCATGCAAGCAGACAAACATGTGCGATGGAGTATGCACTTTGGTCACTTTACTTTATTGCACCTCATAAATAAGGTATATGAGTTGTTGGCCCTGGAGGTTGGAAGAGTAGTGCACAAATGTCTTCCTCATTTCTGCCCTATACTGATGTCTTTTTCCTCCTCTGCTTATATGAATGATGTTGCAAGAATTCAGGGTATCTTTTGCGAATCAGCCTTTACTACAAAATGGTCCTGGCTCCTTATTGCCTTACCCTATGGTTGTGTATTCCACTCAGCACTTGCACTGACACTGCATTTATTCCCGTGAGGATCCTGGGTGTATTTGTATTTGTGCATTCACAGGTGTCACTAGTATGTCAGGAACACTTAAGAACATGAGGTAGGAATCACAGATGAAAAAGGAAAAATAAATATCATGAATCTGCCCGTGTCATCACATGGATCTTCGACCCTTCGTTGTCTTCTCACCCCCAGTTTCTACAAGACATGTAGAAGTTCACGTAGGCAGGAAGGGGAGGGGTAATTGACTCACTTCTCCATCCTGTGCGAATGCTTTTGTTTGAGCGTTGCTTGACCGACATCTTCAGTAATCGCGCCTCGGTCAAAGCAGAGGTTAGTTGAGCGTTCATCTGGGTATATTCTTTCCAGAGGTCTTGGATGGCCTTCTCGTCTGTCCCCTTGCTCCCAGCTTGGATTTTTCGGAGCGCTTCCATCCGCATCGCTGCGAGGCCTTCCAAAGTACAACACAATACCTGCCCGGCAGCAGTCTCCCGCAATTCCAACCCCATTTCTGAAATCTCTTCTTGCAACCGTATTCCTTCTTGCTTCCTCTCTTGGCATTCAATGGCTTTAAGTAACTGCATGGCTGATGCTTGCGTATTCATATACTCGAATGTTGTAGACCCTCCGGACGTCATCACCTTCCAATAACCGTCCTTGAGCTTCATCAGCCTCTGCTGGCCAACATCCTCTTCCACTTCATCCCACATTGTAGTGACCAGGACGACTTTGGGCATGGCATTTTTTCCGCACAACTTTTGGAAGACTCGCAGGTTCTTCAGTGGGGTTCTAGCTGGCATGTGATTGTCCGTTATGCGATGAAAGTAGAGAATGGCTGCAAGCGTGGTCCCCTTCCGGTATCTTAATGGATCCTTGGGGTTCATAGCACATAAAATAAGAATATAGGAGACACTTACTCCTTGTTCAGCCAATCAGATATCATCTCCAGGACATTCAAGTCGGCTTTTGTCGTACCATCGGACCCGGGAGTGTCTACCAAAACCATGCTGGATTCTTCAAGTGTACATCTAGTGGCTTTGACTTCACTTGTATGAGAAGTTAGATCGTGCCCCACGCCGACACCCCTATGCCCTGTAACTTTGTCTATGAACTACCCCTAGTTGGCTTATGTTAAACATATATTCCACAAGGAGCTCACCGAACTTTTCCCTGAACCGGTTGGTCCCATCAACCTGGAATTTAAAGGCGGGTGAGGAGATGTTACAAGACATGACACGTTGCTCACGCAATTACAATGTCCTCCCTACATGCTTCCGCAATTCCTTGGGATTCATTTTTGAATGTCAGAGGTGAAGGTGTCATCTGGCTCCTGAAGCTCACTGGCAACCCTGGTGAGAATTAGGTCTTGCAGAAACACGGGCAACACTTAACTCGCAGCTGTTGACAGAAAATCATCCTTGAGGTTGTTTTGATTCATGTTGACAGAATCGTTCTTGTCAGCTGTGGGCGGAGCTGATAGTATACACTTATCATTTTCTGACATGACAGGAGGTTGGGAAACGAGACATGTGAAAAACTCAGTGCTGAGAGCGGACATGGTAGTGTGGGCAGCAGAAGCTGGGTACTCCAGTGCAGTCCTCATCAACACGGTGCTTTCTGACACGTGGTCTGTCGCAGTATCACTTTCGATGACCTCAAGATTCCTGTCAAGAGAGGTAGTGAAAATTCAGACAAGTAACGATGACAGAGGAGCATAAAGCAGGCAGACACGTCGAGTTAGTATACTGATGTACCAGTCCACTGGGGTTTCTGACTTACCGTGGTATCAGGAGACTTTTTGCCACTTTCGAGGCAGGAGTTTCAGGTGGCATTAAGGCTGGCCCAGCTTGGGACTGCAAAAGCGCAGTCAAAACACAGATAATTTAGCCGAAGGGTTGAGTACAAACGATGGCAGCCTTGACATTCTCTGTGATATTCTTCATAGTAGGACGTGATGAAGGATCAGACCTCCAGCACGCCATGCAAATCTCCCACCATGCATCCGACAAGCGAAATTGTGTTGACTCCTGAGCAGGGCGAGGCGGTAGTTTCCCATTCATTAACTTACCGAACACATTTGCGGGAGATGAACAATCACGGAAAGGTACCGCTCTAGTGAACAACTCCTAGACATATAATGAGTACCACGGGAAGGGCATATCAGACGACCTACCAGAATCGTCATCCCAAATGCCCAAACGTCGCTCGCCACTGACAGGGGGCAACCACTCAGAAGCTCTGGGGCCATCCAATGGCACGAGCCTCCGCAGACGCCGTCGATGGACATGCTGAACGTGGATATGTTTAGGGTGGAAAGACCGAAGTCGCTCAGTAGCGCCCGGTGATCACTAGACACCAGCACGTTGAGCTATCAGAGGATGGGTCAACTACGAACACTGTAAATCAAGCACACTTACCCCCTTCAGATCGCCATGGACTACTGGACCCAACTCATGACTATGGATATAGTCGAGTCCGCTTGCGACGTCTTCGAGCTAAACAAGTATGTCAGGTAACGCGAAAGTAAACGACACACCCATTTGGCTCACCAGCGGCCGCGGATCATTCTCCGTATTTTGGACATAAGTATTCGCGTTCCCCAATGGCATCCATTCAGATATGATCGAAAGTGTGGAATCGAATTCTGTAGAGATCCCGAGCAGGGGAACAATGTTCTCGTGACGCAGCTTCGACCATATATGCACCTCCCGAAATAAACGCTGAATGAGAAACACTCAGATCGAGCTGTGACGAACATCAAGAATTCTGCCGGTACCTTCAAGTCAGCCTCACTCCCCGACAGTGTGCAACGGAAGGTTTTGATTGCTACTTCGGTGCCGTCGGGAATCAAAGTACCTTGGTATACGATGGCAGTACTACCGCGCTGAGGGAGCCTTCCCAAGGTGCGATTGATCCGACCGTTGAGATTGATGCTGTATCGGGATGCCCGTTCAGAAAGCTTGTGCAACACGGGGGATAGTTCCACCGCTTGTTGTAAGGAAGGATAGGCTGCTCCATCGGTGACAGTCATCGAGCAAGAGAGTTACACACGCTAGGTGCTGCCTACTCATGTTAAGTATTAGCTGCGGTAGCACGACATGCATGCCGCGCGTGTGGGACATGCGACTCAGTGCGTGCACGCAATGTCGTCAACCTTGCCACATCGTATACCCGATGCAACTCGGGCACACTTATTGCTCAGATCCTGGAATAATGTTACATGTGAAGTAGTGTCATGAAGGCAACATGTTAAATCTGACAAGCATACGTTACAACCCAACACACTGCAGCCGTCGTGAGACGTACCTCTGAGTCGTTATTAGACGTCAGAGGTGCATTCTAATGTGTTCAGTTAAAGCATATGGAGAAGGACATCACCTCGTCTTAGGAATCAAAGTTTGTACAGGCGCGCTGACGACTAGGCAGATGATGAGCAGGATTGGCTTGGAAATTGAGATGGCAACTTCGGTAGGAATATAGGACAACGAAGTGACCCCCTCATCTAGCATCAGCAAACTGCACGAAACATTCATCATATGGCTAGGGTCTGTTCACTTGAGCAGTGCCCTCCCGTGATCGTCGACATAATTCGGGAGATCATTGCAGGGGAAACTGTCACCCCGCTCTACTGACGAACCAACAATTCCTCTGGACAGATGTGTGGTGGGAGATTGCACATCGTGCAGGGGACATGGTTCTTTATCGCGTCCCACAATGAAGGATATCATAGAGAAAGTCAAGGCTGCCGTCGTCTGTACTTGGACACGTCGCTGAGTTCTCCAGATGGAGCTCTCTTCTCTGCTGTACGAGCTCTCTGATCACACAGTACCACTCTCAACAGTAGAATCAGTCACACCTTAGGAAGCAATCCTCCGTGCGGCGGCACCACCAGTGTATACCATGGTATCTTGATCCCAGGCGGTCTCGAAGTGGCAATTAAAGCCTTTCATAGCAGACTGTCGCGAGAGGCTGAATTGAAGGTACTGGCAGGATTCTGGACATGCCGCCAGGTGCGGCACCGACCTTGCTTGCAGGAAGAAATTGATGTAGTAGGTACTTGAGTGCAGTTGTATTGTGAGACACAATCGCCAACGTTGGATGTGATCGGTGTCTGTAATTTTTCAAGTGACAGGCGAACGGCCCTGGTTGCATAGGGGGGATGTCGTCGAACTCGTCAGAGTTATTTACACTTTAGACGATGCACGTATGTTGGATTTTGATTAGGTATGTTGTACTACTCGGCATGTCAGATTTGAAGATGCGTTATTGGGACCGTTGATAGTGAGGTGTCTCATGCGGAGAGGTAATGTATGAAAATTATTGAACCCGTTGGCCATGGATGCATGCAGAGGCCATAGTCGTGCTAGAAACCGACATTCTAGTTGAAGATACATCGGCTAAACTACAGCCCGTCTGCGACAACGAGGTTAGCCAGGCAGATAAGGGTGTAATCACGAGGTCAGACCTTGGGGAGGGTGGAGCGTCAGGTAGAGACAAGTCGGCAAGGGGACGAGTATAGTTGGGGTATGTCGGCTCCGACTTCGTCATGAAAGCGAATGGAGGTGAGAAGAGGATTGCTTGATTGGTTGTGGAATCGCCAAAGAGAGGTGGAGCGTTAAAACTCTCGGGCATCGTAGCTACGATGGCGTCAGTTACGAATAACAAGCAGCGTCGTCGTGAATGGGTGCACCGTCATCGGAGACGGCGATACTGACCAGTACTTTCGACCAACAAAGATGCATGACTAAAAGCTGGCCCCGTCTAGCTTCCCAAACCACTCTCTAGCTGTCTCTCAAGAACATCTGAGCCATTCGTCAGGAAGAAGCGTTCGGAGGTGGCTGGGAAACATATTGCGACTGAAACCGTTAGGCGGGAAGAAGCGCGTAAACCAAAGGTGGCTGGTTTGGATATCAAGGAACCTGAGAAGGTCGACAGGGAGTTAAGAGGAAGGATTGCTGGACCAGGCTAAGGAAAGATGTTTGGACTCTGGAGTGGTGTTGTTCAACGCTGGTGTTTAGCCGATTCCTCATCGCGGCCACCGACGTTGGTGGGGTGCAAGGTTCCTATGATATCTCAGTCCAAACTCCAGCGACTAGTCGTAGTCAATCGTAGTTCGCTCAACTAAACAAGTCAGTAAGTAAATGTTTATTATGGTGCGAGACTGGAATTGTGTACTTTGCTGATACGAATGATCAACTTGTTCCAAGTACTGATTGTCAACGTGACGTTTCAAAATTTCAACACCGAACCCTCCTTCTCGTGACCTTGGGCATGGGATTCAAATAGATACTGTACCTGTGCTGCACCGGAACAGTTTTCTAATGTTTCTGATATCTTCCTTATCACAAGGTCGTGGCCGTCGCACTGACCATTGAGAGCCCGAAGAGCAACGAAATGGAGAGGCTGATGGTTGATGCATGTCGCAACGTAGAAGTCGGTGTTGACGTTGGACGCAGTGGCGTAAGCACTCTCGCAGTCGTAATCGATCGAGGTCACCTCGTAGACGATCTGCGTCGTCGTGATACCGAGGTCACACTCGTTGTTCCAGGTCGCGGTCCCGCTTTCGTAGTCATGACCGCAGACCATCGGATCCGTTTGCTCATGAATGCCCTTCACTAATGTCGGCAATCTCAGTTACGATGTCAAGTACCGCGATCCAATGGGATTAATGAGGGGAGGTAGGTTGGGGAATCCTAGATTAGACATTTTTTTCGTTATGCGAAGGAGGGGGAGAGATGAGGCAATGCTACGCACACGCATCCGCTCCACGCCTGCTCGTTTCTTCGAGAGAAAGGCATCTGTAGTCGTTGGCCTGCGAATCGAGTCTGAGTTGATGAAGATGATTGGATCCAGGAGTGGCAGTTGGTGGTGGCGGCGGTGGCCCCTTGCAATTTTTTCGCTGGTGTTCGGGTTGGATGGTTGGAATGATTTGAGAGGATATTGATGGGTGTTTTCTTTCGGGGATTAATAGCTGGAGAGGTTCTCTTCGCCGAAGTACTCGTCACTCCAACTGGGGTCTCCAAGGGTTGCGGGTATATATACCACGTTTGTGCGCTGGTCTTTGGTGCTAACTTTTCCCCAGCATCGTCACCGAATCTGCTTCGCCTGAAGATGCGAGGAGAGCCATCCATCAGCAAATCGAGCTTACGGCTTTTAGCAGCTGCGATGTACGACAGTATCGGATCTCAGGCTGTCGTTGCAAATTGGGACCATTTTCGAGTCTCGACGTTGTCTGAGTACGTCACCCGAGACCTTCACAGTGCCCTATCACCTACGGTTGTGTAGCTCATTGGACCAACAATTCACTCCAGAGACTAAACAACATTGTCTAATTAGATCATTCCACCAACAGCACTCAGGGAATGCGACCTTGTCCACTGCCATCGGCGGTAGCCAAGGCACCGCTATCTTTACGGCATAAACTCAACGTTCCTGTGCAGACCTAGCGTGTAACTCATTCTTGCTCAGCGACCGTCATCGATGGAGCGGGATTGTTCCTTGCCAGATACCACGCATCAAAAAGCAATGATGGAGCTACTAGAAGCTCTCTGATCGGGCATCTAGATTCAGTATCAATCTCGGCGGTCGAGTCAGTCGCTCCATGGGGAGGAATCCTCTGCGCGGTGGTACTGCTTGTGTATACCACGGTACACTGTTCCCGGATGGAACCGAAGTGGCGATCAAAACCTTCCATAGCACAGCGTCTGGGAATGACGATGAATTGAAGGTGCAGGATTTCCGATGGCCTCATCACGCTTCGAGCTGAGTCGTTCCCATTTAGCATATCTTTCGAGAGGTGCATACATGGTCAAAGTTGCGCCACGAAAACATCGTCCGCATGCTCGGGATCTGTACAGAATTTGGATTGCACAGTTTCGATAGTATCTGAATGGATGTCACTGGGAAACGCGTACACTTATGTCCAAGCTACAGAGAATGATCCACGGCCGCTTGTGAGACGAAGTGTGTGTTATTCACTTTGCACGCTGCTTGACATACTTTTTTTTTATAGCTCGAAGACATTGCGAGCGGACTGTACTATCTTCATAGTCATGATTTGGGCCCAGTAATCCATGGAGATCTGAAAGGCGTAAGTGTGCTCGGTTTACGGTTACCTTTACCTCTAGTTGACATCTGCTTCCTTAGCCGAATGTACTGGTGTCCAGTGATCGCCGGGCGCTGCTGACTGACTTCGGCCTTGCAACCCTAAACGTCTCTACCTTCAACATGACTGTCGATGCCATCCGCGGAGGCTCGTGCCATTGGATGGCCCCAGAGCTTCTAGATGACTGCCCTGCGTCAATAAAAAGCGACGTGTGGGCATTCGGGATGACGACTCTGGTGATCCTCTTGGTTTGTTCTTTCGAACAGCATTTATTCTATTCCTAGGAGTTGTTCACTCGAGCAGTACCCTTTTTCCGATTGCCGCAATCCAGGAACTGTGTTCGTCAGGATAATAAACTACGAATTACCACCCCATCCTGGCGAGGAGCTAACGCAATTTCGCCTGACAGACGCGTGGTGGGAGATTTGCACCTCATGCTGGGGACGTGATCCTTCGTCACGTCCCACAATGAAGGACGTGTTAGAGAAAGTCAAGGCTGCCGTCGTCTGTACTCAATTCCTTTGCGAACGTCTCTTTGTTTTGACTGCGTTTTTGCAGTGCCAAGCTAGGTCTCCCTTACTGCTACTTGAAGCTTCCACCCCAAAGGAAGCAGAACGTCACCTGATACCACAGTGAGTCCAGAATCCCTGGCGTGGCGACGCATCGGTAAACTAACTCTACGTATCTGCCCCCTTATGCCCCTGTGTCATCGCCGCTCATTTAAACTTTCGCCATTCCTCTTGATAGGAACCCAGAGGTCGCTAGTAGCGATCCTTGTGACAGACCACGCATCAAAAACCACCGCATTGATGGAGACCATTCTAGAATACCCGGCTTCTGCTGCTGACACCAACATGTCCCCTTCCAGCATTGAGTTTTTCAGAGCTCCCACCACCCAAAAGAGTAAGTGCCTTCGTTCATATGTGATCAGAACGATAAGTGTGCACAACCTGCTTCGCCCATAGCTGAGGAGAACGATTGTGTCAACCTGATCGTCGAGGACAATCCTCTGCAAATAGGTTTTTGGAGACGCTTCCACCAGGAGAGTAGGAGGTGTATCGGCCAGCCAGTGCGAGTTGGTTATTGGCCATATTTTCCTCAATCTCATCAGGCATCAGGTTCGACGACCGGTGACATGTCCCCGGAAGCTGGTATATCGGAAGCAAATACAAAGGACATTATAATTGCGTGAGTCAGATGTCATGTTTCGTAGCATCTTCTTAGTCACCATCTTTACCTGACAGGTTAATAGGACCGGTCGCTTCTGGGAAAAGTTCGGTGAGCTCCTCATGAAATGTGTATATTTACATAACATAAACCGACTTGATGTAGTTCATAGAACATGTCAATGGGAGGGCGGGCGAGGGTTTGGCTCTTACTGATGAGATCAAGATCACCAGATTTATGTTCGAAGGATCCAGTGTGGTGCTGGTAGACACTCCTGGGTTCGGTGATACGGGGAAATCCGACTTGGAGATTTTGGCAATGATTTCGGAGTGGTTGGGGAAAGAGTAAGTATTTCCTATATTCCTATGATGTTTACGATGAATTTCGCAAACCCATTAAGATACGCGGAAAAGCCCATGCTTTCAGCTATTCTTTACTTTCACCGCATATCAGACAACCATACTGGTTGGGACCCCACTGAAGGACCTACAAGTCTCCCAAGAGCTATGCGGGAGACACGACTTATCCAGGGTTATCCTGGTTACTACAATGTGGGACCAAGTAGAACATGAAGTTGGTGAGGAGAGGCTGAGAGAACTCAAAAATGGTTATTGGAAGGCGATGAGGTTGCGAGGAGCTACGACGTTCAAGCACCTGAACAACCAAGAATCAGCCATACAATTAATTACTTGGATCCACTGTACGTTGGGAAAAGGAAGCGGCCCAGGTGCGGTTGCAGCTGGAGATTTCAGATTCTATAAAGTCGGGGTTATCGGAAACTGCTGCTGGGTGGGAGTTGTGCTTTCATTTGGAAGAACTCGCAGAGAGGGAGCTGGAACTGCGTCGAGCAATTCAAGCAGAGACCGAGGGAGCGAACCAGAAGACCGCGGAAGACCTCGGGAAAGAATATGCCGAGGTAAAAGCGCAGCTGGAATCTACTCTGACCCAGGCGCGAGCATGGACTTTGATAGAACTCAAGCGGCGCTTCAGGAAGAGCATCCGGTAATCATGGACAGGTGAGTAGTTTACCCCATGTCGAGTACATTTTCTTGCTTTCTTTCAGTAAGCCAACTCCCTGCAGGTGCTCTTCTTTAGTACCGTCGCCTGTATCGCAGCATGGATGAGTAGATTTTAAATGACAAGTTTCCATGGTTCCAGCGACATTAGGAGTGTCGCTGCGGATGTTATTTGGCCCTGGCCATGTTAGTAAACTCCTGAAAATTCAACTTCATGAACTGCGCGATATTAGGGTACCAAAAAAAAAAAGATGAGCTTTATGGCCCGACTGATGATACCAAGACACATGGCTGCCATTGTGTCTCAAAAATTCAATTCTGTGTTGTTACGGTAATGGAGCCGATGGTCCTTGCGTTGCACTATCGCGTAGTAACCTTACTTACATACGTAATTCGTGAGCTGAAGCACCTGAACTGTCACTTTCCCTGGAAGTTTTTAAGTATTTTCCAACCCAGTTCCAAGTCATTATAACGACTTCAGAATGTTCAAATCCCACTTAGCACAGTTGTCATATATGTATGTATATGAATTGACCCACTAACAGTACTCCTGCCAATCGTTGCGGTTGCAGCGTGTCAGCGCCCAAAGCAAGGCTTCCCGCTATCATAGGTAAAATGTCTCGATGGCTTCTTCGGCGCCGATCCCGATGACCGCTGGTAAAATGATCCTCTGATGTGGATTTTCGTTCCGCAGGCTTGGTGATTTATTTGACCAAGGCGACACTCCGGCTAGTGACAACAGTCATCGGCTCACAGTGACCAATTCCCAAGAGTAGACACTTCAAAACAAAAACGCCAGCTTTGTTCGCCGTTTCTTGTTTGCGACGTTCCGTACAACGTCTTGTTGTGAGCAGTATGCCATATGCATGGGCCTCCCCATGCTCTTACGCTAACATGACTGCTTCAAGCGTAGAGTGTTCCGCACAGTGTCGTGACCCAGACAGCCATCCGAAAGCCGAAGTCTCCGGCTTCTGTTCCGTCACCCGCGTATTCACGAGAGGGAGAGGATCTGTGGAAGGACGTGGTCGGGAATGATAGAGGATTCAATAAGAACCGACAAGCAAGTTCATATGTACTTCCACGGATAATCTTGCGCCGTTTTGTGCCCTGCGACTGAACATCGGTTGAATTTCGGGAACATTGTTTCTCTGAGGGTCCACTCGTCGTAAGATGTGCGCGTGTGATACATGCATAGTGACCGAGGATTGATCGCGTTCGTTGACATCCAATTGGTACCATGCTTCTTTTCAAAATTGTCTCAGACGTTCAAAGAGTGTTTGTTTTATTCGTTCACGTCCCGGTTGCACGTATGAGAAAAATATATACATCTGATACGTCAATGCGTCTCAATTGGGTGTTTGATTGAGTTCTAATGCGTTTTACTGACGATGAACCTGTGCCGTCGTTTCAAGCTGCGAGGTTCGATGCACCCTCATGTTTGTCGCCCGAGACTTTCACTTATATGTATTCACAGGAGCAGACTGCCAGTTACTAGTCAAGAGTGCGGTCCACCAGCTGCCACCAGCACTAAGTGAATTTGCCGTTGCTCGAGTTTCTTGGGTAGTGGGTAAGGCATTTACATATATCATGCAACGGGGATAAGCAAGCGCCTACACACATGTTGCCCATGTTCGCTGCATCGTTGCCACTGTGTATACCCCACTCTCTTGTTCAATGACCATCACCGATGGAACAGCATTGTTACTTACCAGACGGCGCGCATCAACAACAAGAGATGGAGCGGCCTTCCGAGCTACAGGAGCTCGCTGATCGAGCATCTAGATACAGTATCGATCTCACCAATCGAATCAGTCGCAACTCGGGAAGAGTTCTTCCCGGTGGTTCTGCCCTCGTATACCGTGGTACTTTGATTCCAGATGGAACCGAAGTGGCAATCAAAACCTTCCGTTGCACACGGTCGAGCGAGGCTGACTTGAAGGTATTGGCGAGATTTCGCAGGTTGTCGCAGGTCGTGCTGAGGCTTTCCCATTTAGCATATATTTCGAGAAGTGCATGTATGATCGAAGCTGCGTCACGAGAACGTCGTTCGCATGCTCGGGATTTCTACAGAATTTGACTCCACAGTTTCGATAATATCTGAATGGATGCCATTGGGGGACGCGCATGCTTACATCCAGGACACAACAAATGATCCACGGCCGCTGGTGAGTCAATAGAGTGTCAATTATATTCGCACTATGTACCCGTCATACCTGTTTAGCTTGAAGATATCGCAAGCGGACTGGACTATCTGCATAATCACGAGTTGGGTCCAATAGTCCTATGGAGACCTGAAGGGTGTAAGCGTTCTTGATTCATATATTATACACTGGCAGTTGACCCATCCTTCGATAGTTAAACGTGCTAGTGTCCAGCGATCACCAGGCGCTACTGAGTGACTTCGGTCTTGCAACCCTGAGCACATCCACCTTCACCATGACTGTCGACATCAAACGTGGAGGCTCGTGTCACTGGATGGCCCCGGAGCTTCTAGATGAGTGCCCTGCATCGATGGAAAGTGATGTGTGGTCATATGGAATGACGGCTCTGGTACTGCCTTCTGATTTGTCCCCTTTGCACAATGCTCATTATATGCCTAGGAACTGTTCACTCGAGCAGTACCTTTTCCAAATTGTCGCAGTTCAGCAAATGTGCTCGGCATGTTAATGAAGAGGAAACTACCTCCTCGACCTGCTGAGGAGTCAACACAATTCCGCCTGACTGACACGTGGTGGGAGATTTGCATGTCATGCTGGCAAAGTGATCCTTCATTGCGTCCCACAATGAAGGATATCGCAAAGAAGGTCAAGGCTGGCATCGTCCGTACCAACTCCTTCGCTTAGTTCTCTGAGTTTTGATGCCGTCTCTTGCAGTCCCAAGCTAGCCCCGCCTTAACTTTACCACACAAAGCTTCCACTTCTGCGCATCCAATCTCAAACGAGGCATGTCAATATACTAACTCGGTGTACGTTGCTTCAACCTCCTGCGTTATTGCTGTTCAATCATGCTTTCTCTACTCTTTTTAATAGTACCTCCGGTGTCGCTGTGAGCTATACCACGACAGGCCGAGCGTTAGAAAGCTCCGCCTTAATGAAGACTGCCCCGGAATACGCAGCTTCTACTGCTGACACCAACAATCCCCTATCCAGCACTGGATTTCTCACATGTGTTACCACTATCCGCCAGAGTGAGTGCAGTTACCTATGTCGGATCTGAACAATAAATGTGCGCTGCCAGCTCCTCCCATAGATGATGACAACGATTCCGTCAACCCGAAGGGAAACAACGTCAAAGACAATTCTCAGCCGACAGCTACTGCGAAGATGCCTCAACCAGCAGGTGCGGGTCGTGTCTTGATCATGATTGCAACAAAGCTAAATCTCACCACGGTTTCCGTTGCGATTTAAGAATCATCTGTCACCGCTAAGTTCAACATCGGAGGACAAACCCTTCCACCACCCCTTCCTGATAGGGAGGCGCTGGGCTCCGAGGCCGCGAGAAGTGACTCTGTGATCGGCCAGGCATCAGAAAGCCTCGGTTTGATGAAGACTGCACTGCAAGACCTAGCTGCTGACACCAACATGTCTCCATCCGTGTCTCTTACAAGTAACTCTGGCACCCTGCAGAGTAAGTGCTTACAGTGACTTTAGATCTGCGTGATAAGTATGTACCACCTGCTCCACCCACAGCCAAGAAGAATGATTCTGTCAAGCCGAAGCGAAACAACACCAAGGAAGATACTCAGCTAACATGTGCTGTAGAGGTAACAGGGTCCTGGCCCTTATCCAGGAAGATCCTTTTCTCACCAGGATTACCCCCGCGTTTCTAGAGTCAGATGTCATTGTTAGCCTCGACATTGGGAGAAGGATCTCAGTCGGTTGATATACGGGAAATAGGTACGATGGACACCATAGTCGGGTGAGTAAGATGTCATGTTTTATAGCAACTTCTCAGCCATTCTCTCTACCCATCAGGTTAATGGGACCAGCTGGTTCCGGGAAAAGTTCGGTGAGCTTCCCATGGAATATGTATTTAACATAAGCCGACTAGGCGTAGTTCGTAGCAAAAGCCCTGGGGAGTATGGACAAGGGCATCGGACATCATTTATGTTCTTCGACAAGCGAGATCAAGGTCACCAGATGTACGGTTGAACGTTCCAGCGTGGTTCTGGTAGAGTTTCCCGGGTTCGATGATATACAGAGATCCGACTTGATGACCCTGAATATGATTGCCCAATGGCTGATCGCAGGGTAAGCATTCCCTATACTCCTGTTATAGTCCGCTATGAATTCCCAGGATCCGCTAAGATACGAGCATGGGATCATGCTTTCGGCCATCCTTTACTTTCATCGCATAATAGATAGTCACATGGCTGGAAGCTCGCTCAAGAACTTGAGAGTCTTCCAAAAGTTATGCGGGAAGAACGCCATGCCTAATGATCGTCCTGGTCACTACAATGTGGGATGAAGTGGACCACGAGGTTGGCGAGGAGAGGCTGGCGATGCTCAAGGACATTTATTGGAAGACGATGATATCCCAAGGGTCTACGACGTTCCGGCATATGAACACTCAAGAATCAGCCGTGCAGTTACTTAATTCCATTGTCCAGTGGGGGTAGGCGCAAGAAACAGTCCAGCTGCAAGAGGAGATTATGTATAGGAAGTTGGAGTTGCAGGAGACTGCTGCCTATCGGGTAATGCATCCTCTTGATGACCTCGCACAGAGGAGGATGGAGGTGCTTCGAAGAATCCGAGATGAGACCAAGGGAGCAGACCAGAAGACCGCCGGAAGACCTCGGGAAAGAATATGCTCAACTGAAGGCCCAACTGGACTCTGTTCTGACTGACGCGCGAGTGTTAAGGATGCCGCTTGGGCCACGCCTAAACAAAACCATTCGCGCAGCATGGAGAAGTGAGTTAATTTTTCCCTCTCCTTCCTGCAGTATAGACTTCTGGGTGTCTTACAGGAATGGGGAAATAAGAGCGAACGGTCGAAAGACATAGGTGATGCGATAGGTGGACTCATAACATTTATTTTGCTTTCTCGCCTGTGATTCTGACCTTGTATGTCAAGTGCTATATGTTACTCCGTTCCATCCACTGACTTCAAATCGTCGCATTCTATGAAAGATCTTGGTGATGGATTGATATAAAGAAGGATGAAATGTCATTCGAGCATATGCTCTTCGGTGGAGTTGGTCCCATCAAATCCCATCCACAATGGCTTCACCAAAATGTAACGGGGGCTCGTAGTCTAGCAATTTGGTAGGAGGAGCAGTGCCACTCTCTAGTAGGACACTTACTAGTTCACGCCCGTCTACGTCCTTGGTGTATTTATCTCTGCGTATTCATGCGTTTCCCAACCCAATTCCAAGTCATTGTAGAAACGATATCCTACTTCGTCACTTATGTATATGATTTTACCCACTGCCACAAGGTCCAAAGCAAGGACTTCCCAGTGCCTCGGCGGCGGGTCCGATCCATGGGCCATTCCCTGTGGAATTCTACAGTTTCCAGTCCTATCGCTTGAAGTTACTGATTCCACGATGCAGGAATCAATAACAACCATTGGTGAAATGATCCTCTGTTGCAGATTTTCCTCACTTCGACTTGTTAGACTTCCACAAGGGTCTCCTGTAGGCTTGGTGATTTACTTGATCAAGGCGATGCTTCCACTGGTGAGGAGAATCATCGGCTCATACTCGTGAGTAGATACTTGAAGCAAGAATGCCAATCTTGTTCGCTGTTGCCTGAATGCGGCGTTCTGTACAAAAATCTTGTTATCAGTAGTACGCCATAACCTACATACGTTAGTTCGCTTCTGACATGCTAGCACCACTACTCCTTCGAGGGTAAAACGTCCCCATAGCAGACATCCACTGAATTCGAGGGCGCGCATTGTCCTACACATTGCCCACATGGTCCTGTGCACAAGTTCAGTCACTCATCATGAATAAATAGCGTGTATACGGTTGATTGCTTGATTGAGAGCACAACCTCGCAATCACTACCGTTCCCAGGTCGGAAACCCAGCTTTTGAACTGGAAGCTCGTTTGTAGTACGCCGAGGACTCGAACCGAGCGGGCTAAGTCGTGTACTGAGCAATAGTATGCCAGGAGATAGAATGCGCCCGGGTAACTTGAGACTGAAGAAACCGCGAGGAAATCGTACCCGGCAGCATCTTAGAAAAGTATTGGCATTGGGGGAAAACTGCTGGGTTCGTGACGTTCGTGGAAATGACGCCCGGTGTGCGTCAAACTGTACAATGAGAGACCACTTCTAACTGCCGTTACACCATACATTACCCCATCTATCTTGCGCCATGTCAGTAGTCCCGTGGCCTACCACTCCAGGCTCATCGCTGTCAATGGACCCAACACCGTAGCTGGCATCTGCGTTAAACTGCGGGACTAGACAGCTGATTCCCTAGGAAATAAGGGCAAGCCCGATCGACAGCATGGCAAACTTCCAGACAGGGTAGAAGAGATGTGTAAGTATAGTTGACGACAGCGAAGGAGGGGCTTTCTTGGCGTGGCCTCACTGGGCTGGGGCTGCTAATGCTGAGAGCGGCGCTTGTGCGTTGCTTCCAGAGGAGTCAGATGACGTAAGGGGATGGTTCGGAAACATCGTGAGAAGGATATATCGCATAGCAAGGAATCGGTACTCGCGCCGGCAGTCTGAGCATGTTTGCAGGGGAGAATAGAGGTCACGCCCACAGCCGAAGGTCAGGAGCATTGTGGTGAAGTTGGTCATGTATTGGAGAAGGGGGTCGCTGATATTAGTGGAGAGGCTAGTAGTATCATATGCGACCGCGGGACTTTGTGGCGGAGGTAAGGGGACAGCATACGCTGTGGAAGGACAGTAGGGCAGAGAGTATACGAGAGGACACGGGAAACTAGCTACATGTGGAGGTTACGTTGGAACGACACCGAGATGAAATGCGACGTACAAGACTTTGTGACAAAATAGATAGGTCCACTGACCTTGACCTCGTCCTGTATCACGCACGCAGTGTAGTTGGTGTCCGGTGAGAGACCGTCAACGAACCACTGTGATCTCCAATCGCCCGATCCCCTTAGCCAGGTATTATTCAGTTCGACAGTCCCAGTTGAGGACACATTGGCTAAACTACAGCCTGTCTGCGGCAGCGAGGTTAATTGGACAGGTAAGGGTGCAAAGACAAGGTCAAACATTGGGGAGGGTGGAGCGTCAGGTAGAGAAGAGTTGGCAAGAGGAAGAGTATAATTGGGATATGTTGACTCCGACGTCATCTCGAAAGCGAACGGAGGAGCAGGCATATACAATCCTCATGTACCGTCCTCTACGATGCCAGTTAGTTACGGGTAACAAGCAGCGTAGTTATGAATGAGTGCACCGCTATCGAAGATCACAAATCTGACCAATACCTTCGACCGATAGAGATGCCTTAGTCGAGGCTGATCCCGTCTATATTCCTTCAAATGCTTCTTCCCGATGAATGGCTCAAACGTCTATGGGATACAATTAGAGAGTGGTTTTGGAAACTTGTGAGAAGTATATTGCCACTGAAACCGTCAGGGAAGATTCCACGGATATAGTGGACGGGTTGGATATCAAGGAACCTGAAAAGGTCAACAGAGAGTTCAGCGAGAGGGATGGCTGAGCCTGAGCAAAGACAACAGAGGCCTGACCAAAAACGAGGGAAAGACGTGTTGTTATTCGATATGGCAAGGCGGGTGTTTGGCCGATTCCTTACCGCGGTCATCGACGTTAACGTTCAACGTTCAACAGCGAAACTCCAGGTGCAAAATTCTGAGACTCGGTAAGACTCAGTCCGGAGAAAATCGTTCTTCAGCGACCGTCCATTACAGTCATCTTCAGCTATGTCTGTTCATGCATCGACTGTAGGTATCAGAAGAACATACGTACGTCTGATACGTCTCACGATCGGTGTGTGTTAGTCGGGTTGTGACGTATGTTTGCAGTCCCCACTTTTCATCTGCCATGTCGCCTTCGTGATGCTACGTTCACAACCATCACTCACAAGATTTGAGCTATGAGCTTTCCTGAGTTCATCGGGTATACGATGTAGCAAGGTTGAAGACATGAAAGTAAAACTGGCGTCTGCATCATGTGAGCGCGTGTAGCGCAGTGAGGTGCCACGAATTGCATGCCCCTGCCCATGTGCAGCTCACCGTGGCTTGGTAGGCCGCACTTAGCGCACGTAACTCTTGCTCAACAGGCGTTACCGATCAAGCAGCATCTTTACTTACAACAAGAAATGGAACTATTCCCCGTGCTGCACGAGCTCTCTGAACGGGCATCCCGATACAGTGTTAATCTCAACGGCCGAGTCACTCGCACCTTGGGAAGGAATCCTCTGCGCGGCGGTACTGCTTGTGTACACCACGGTACATTGAAGCCGGAAGGTACCGAAGTGGCAATCAAAATCTTCTATTGCACACGGTCAGGGAGCGAGGCTGATTTGAAGGTACTGGCAGGATTCCCGTTGGTCGTTCTTACCCGAGCTGAGTCTTTCTCATTCAAGCGCCTATTTCGAGAGGTGCATACATGGTCGAAGCTGCGTCACGAGAACATTGTTCCCATGCTTGGGATCTCTACAGAATTTGACTCCACACTTTCTATAGTATCTGATTGGATGCCAATGGGAGACGCGCGCACGTATATCCAAAACGCAGAAAATGATCCGCGGCCCCTGGTGAGGGTGTATCTGCTATTTTCAGACCACTTGACATACTCGTGTAGCTTCGAGACATCGCGAACGGGCTGTACTATCTTCATAGTCATGAGTTGGGTCCAGTGATCCATGGAGATCTGAAGGGTGTAAGCATGCTTGGTTTATAACTGTTGTACTTGGTTCATCCTTCCATAGCCAAATGTGCTGGTGTCCAGTGATCGCCGGGCGCTACTGAGTGACTTCGGTCTTTCCACCCTAAATGTGTCCACCTTCAACATGACCACTGAGGCCACCCGCGGAGGCTCGTTTCCTTGGATGGCTCCAGAGCTTATAAATGACTGTGTAGCATCCAAGGAAAGTGATATGTGGGCATATGGAATGACTATTCTGGTACGCATCTGGCTTGTTCCCCTTTCTGATGTTATTGTGCCGCTAGGAATTATTCACCCGATCTACACCTTTCCATGATTGTCGAAACTGCGCAAGTGTCATGCGTAGGATAGTGGAGAAGAATCTGCCAGCTCGCCCTGCTGAGGAGTCCACACAATTTCGCCTGTCAGATGCATGGTGGGAGATTTGCATGGCATGTTGGAGACCTGATCCTTCATCACGTCCCACTATAACGGATGTCGTAGAGAAACTCAAGGCTACCACCGTCTGTACTCTTTCCTCTCGCTAAGTTCTCCGCATTTTGAGCGCGTTTTTGCAGTCCCAAGCTGGGCTCCCCTTAATGATACCTGAAGCTTCTGCTTCTGCTTCTGCTTCCGCCTCTGCCTCTCCAGTCGCAAAAAGTCACCCGATCCCATGGTGAGTCAGAAGCTCTGGTACATCGACGTTTCACTAGACTAACACTACGTATCTGTCTGCTTTATGATCCTCTGTCATTGCCGTTCATCTAAATTCTCACTTCCCCTCTTAACGGGAACCTGGGAGTCGTTGGAAGTGATATCGTGACAGACCAAGTGTTAGAAAGCATTGCCTTGATGAAGACTGCTCTGGACTACCCAGCTTCTGCTACAGAGACTAGCATGTCCCCTCCAAGCACTGACACATGTCTCGTTGCCCAGCCTCTCATGCCAGATCCAAATGATAAGTGTATACCACCAGCTCCACCAACAGGTGCGAGTTAGTCTTCACCATGTTTCTATGAGACCGAATCTTCAACAGGGCCGTTGAGCATCAAGAGTCAGATGTTACCCTCTCTCCTGACATTGGAAAATGAGTCCCAAGGAGTTGAGGAAGTACGCACAAGGACATTATAATTGTGTGAGTGAGATGTCACGTATTGTCACACCTTCTCACTCGCTCTTTAACTACCAGAATAATGGGGCCAACCGGTTCTGGGAAAAGTTCGGTGAGTTCCTCATAGCATATATATTTGACGTAAGCTAACTAGGCGTAGTTTATAGACAAAGTCGTCACGGAGGGGATGGGAGAGGGTGTGGGGCATGGTTCAACTTCCTGTACAAGGGAGGTCAAAGCCACCAGATGTACGCTCAAAGGATCCAGTGTGGTTCTGGTAGACACTCCGGGGTTTGATGATACGGAGAGATCCGATTGGGAAATCCTGGAAATCATTTCCAACTGGCTGAACGAGGAGTAAGCAACTCCTGTATTCTTGTTATGTGTGGTTTGAATTCCAAGAATCTGTCAAGGTACCAGACCGGGACCATCCTTTCGGCCCTTCTTTGGTTTCATCGCATATCAGATAATCGCATGGCTGGATCCCCACTAAAGAACCTTCGAGTCTTTGAAAAGTTGTGCGGGAAATGTGCCATGTCCAAGGTTGTCCTAGTCACTACAATGTGGGATGAAGTGGAATATCATGTTGGTGAGGCAAGGCTGGAAGAGCTCAAAGTCACTTACTGGAAGGCGATGATATCGAGAGGGTCGAAGACATTCGAGTACGGGAACACTCGAGAATCAGCCATTCAACTAATTCAATCCGTTGTACTTCGGCAACAGGAGACAACACGAAAGGGAGTCCAGTTGCAAGTGGAAATTTCGGATTTGGAGATGGAGTTGCGGGAAACTGCGGCTGGGCGGGAGTTGTGTTCTTCTTTGGAAGAACTCACACGTAGGCGCAAGGAGTTGCTTCGAAGACTTCAAGCAGAGGCCAAGGGAGCAGACCCGCGAATCGCAGAAGACCTGCGGAGAGAATGTGACGAATTACAAGCTCAACTGGAATCTATTTTGATCCGGGGACAAGCGTTGAGGATGACGAAGTTCCAGCGTTTCTGGCAAAGCATCCAAAAATCATGGAAACGCAAGTAAATTACCTACTCCCTCCCATCGGGCACTTTATCGAATTACTGTAATCCTCATTAGTGTGCAAACTACTGTCCCCTTCATGGTACCATTTTCTGAAGCACAACATAGATAGGTACCATTGACGGCATGTCTACATGACGAGATTAGTGAGTGTTGTTGAAGATAAAGATAATAAATTTGCAATGGGACTTGCTGACTAGAGCATACGGCTCTAATTTTGAGTGATTGTATCATGACAGCTTGCGATATTCCTCGAGGTTTGCTCGTGCTGCGTCCAAGCCAGGGAGTAGGGAGGATGGTCAGCCGCCAGATAACCAACCAATGTCGCACTCGTCGTGTTTCCTCTTGTTCTGTGGCGGAGGTGTGGAGTTTGTGGAGGTTATCGAGGTGGTGGTTTGCGTTACCGTCGTTGCTTGGAGTTATTGTAGTCGTTTATGTGGGCACGGTTGTAGTGGTGGTGGCTGCGGTTGTCGCCGTCATGCATAGTGGGAGCGGTAGAAGAAGTCATCTTCGCCGTTGTCGTTGTGAAGGTCATTGGTCATTATGACTGCTGTTGATTAGTCAAGTGGTTACATGACAACCCTATTAGGACGCTGATCCGTATGTTAGAAGAGTGATGAAAGTAAAAAAATATACCCATGACCGGGTGGACTTCTGGGAGGGTTGCCAAAAGCGTCGACAGGAGCTTAGACAGCAGTATCCATCCGCTGGGCCAAACACGGGTCAGACAGAACCACATTGATTTTGCGGATTGCAGTACTTGCATCTCTTCATTGACATAGCAAGGGCAGAAGTGGAACTCAATTCACCTCAGGAGATATCAAGGCTGGTTCTAATTGCCATTACACCATAAATTACCCCATCTATCCTGAGCCGCGCCAGTAGTCCCATGGCCAACCACTCCAGATTCACCGCTGTCGATGAACCCAACACCATAGCTGGCATCTGCGTTAAACTGTGGGACTGGACAGCTGATTCCCAGGAAATAAGGGCAAGCCCGATCGACAGCATGGCAAACTTCCAGACAGGGTAGAAGAGATGTGTAAGAATAGTTGACGACAGGGAAGAAGGGGTTTCTCGGTGTGGCCCCACTGGGCTGGGGCTGCAATGCTGAGAGCGGCGCTTGTGCGTTGCTTCCAGAGGAGTCAGATGACGTAAGGGATGGTTCGGAGCATCGTGGGAAGGACACATCGCATAACCAGGATCGGTACTCGCGCCGGCAGTCTGAGCATGTTTGCAGGGGAGAATAGAGGTCACGCCCACAGCCGAAGGTCAGGAGCATTGTGGTGAAGTTGGTCATGTATTGGAGGAGGGGATCGCTGATATTAGTGGGGAGGCTAGCAGCATCATATGCGAGTGCAGGACTTTGTGGCGGAGGTAAGGGGACAGCATATGCTGTGGAAGGACAGTAGGGCAGAGAGTAGACGAGAGGACACGGGAAGCTAGCTACATGTGGAGGTTACGTTGGATCGCCACCAAGATGAAATGCGACGTACAAGACTTGGTGACAAAGTAGATAGGTCCACTGACCTTGACGTCGTCCTGTATCACGTACGCAGTGTAGTTGGTGTCCGGTGAAAGGCCATCAACGAACCATTGTGATCTCCAATCACCCGATCCCCTTAGCCAGGTATTATTCAGTTCGACAGTCCCAGTTGAAGTCGCGTTGGCTAAACTACAGCCCGTTTGCGGCAGCGAGGTTAATTGGGCAGATAAGGGTGCAATCACAAGGTCAAACGTTGGGGAGGGTGGAGCGTCAGGTAGAGAAGAGTTGGCAAGGGGTAGAGTATAATTGGGATATGTCGGCTGCGGGGTTGCCTCGAAGGCGAACGGAGGTGAGAAGAGGATTGCTTGATTGGCTGTGGAATCACCGAAGAGGGGTAGTACGTCGAGAATCTCGTGCACCGTACCTATCATAGTGTCAGTTACGAATAATAAGGGCGCAGGTCGCGAACAAATGCACCGTTGTCAGAGACGGCAACCTCGAAGGATACTCTGACCAACATCCTTCGACAAGCAGAGACGCATTATTAAAGGCCTGCCCTGTCCAGCTGCCAAAACCTGTGTTTAACTGTATCTCAAAGACGTCTGAGCCATTCGTCAGGAAGAAACGTCCGGAAGTGGCTTGTGAGGAACATATCGCGACTGAAACCGTCAGGGAAGATGAGGCGGGCAAGCCGAAGGTGGCTGGGTTGGATATCGAGGAACCTGAGAAAGTCGACAGCGAGTTGAGCGAGAGGGACTGCTGGACCTGAGCGAAGGTAATAGAGGCAGACAAAAGACAAAGGAAAGATATTTGGAGCAACGGTGTTATTCGCATGGCAAGGCGGGTGTTTAGCCGATTCCTCACCGCAGGTCACCGACGTTGGTGGGGTGCAAAAGTCCTATGGCACTCAGCAGTCCAGCGGCTGATCGTAGTCTATGCAGTTCGCTCAACTATTACTACTTCAGGTGCTCCATCCACGACTACGAGGCAAGATGCTCTCATTTGTACGATACAAGCTCATGGCGTCCTCGGCGGCTGCTATTAGCTTCACAGCCAGCCACGGTACGAGCGCCGAGTTCTTCAAGATCGATCATTCATTACATTCAGCTGCTTCTGAAGTCCAGAAATCCAAGCAGCCCCCAAGTTACAGTCTCAGCGTCTCGAGCCCCTCGCGATCATTCTGACGTTCGTGGGGGTAGCACTGGGCCTATCAGGAGAAGAATGACTGCGACCGTTGCATTCGTTGTGCTCCTGATGCGGCTCCAGGCACAGCCAGCGGGAACGGTGCAACGGATAAAAACAAATAAAAATGTTTATGGTGTCGCACTGGAAGTGAGTGTACTTTGCTGACAGGAGCGAGCGGGCCTTGCTCCGCCGATTGTCAACGTTTCAACCCCAAACCCTCTTTCGTTGCCACCGTCCAAGAGGCAAGCCGATGACGTTTCTACACCCTCCTCATGACCCTGGCCATGGTCCTCCCGAGAACACGTGTACTGCACTCGGATGTGATCATGGCATCGATCGGCTGCACAGTACTTATCCGTCTTTTTACGGCAATTATTTACCCTCTCGCATCTTCCCTGTGAACATTCAATCTGAGCGCCGAACCTTGAGCTTAGGGATTGGGATTGCATTCTAATCACTACGGCAACTGCTTGTTCATCCTGTGCGTGGATACCCCCATCTCCATCTCCGTCTTCGGGACGATATTCCATACCTCTCGCGCGCTGTATTTCCTTAGCGACCATGATGCCTTCGGTCCGACATCTCGCTGGTCACTTGAATGCTGAAAGGGTAGGCTGCCAGACTGCCAGTCAACTTACTGAACGCGACAAGGCACGGGGGTTGCAACGTAGTCAGCGTTGGTCCCTCGACAGTCAACAGGTGTGTGCGGGCCTTCGCACTCTGACCCTACCTCGACCCTCACTGATATAGCGTTTATACTAGTGTGGCCGGTGCTACAAGCCGGTTGCGGTCAAGACGAAGTACCAGTCTACTTCGGCGCCCGCACCCCTTCGTCTTCTCGCTTCCACCCAATGACTGGGATCTTTTAATACTAGGTTGCTGTGAGTGCTATGTTGTGATTCCCTAATAATTCGAACAGCATCACATGCAGGTCCCAGGATATCCGACTATCCGTTACATAATAGTATCAATCGGCCCGACTTCCCCCCTAAATTTCCAACTTGGCGCATTCGCTCGAGCGGCCCGATGATAAGCGCTTACCCACTGCATAAAAATCATTCGTCTCTTTTTCCTGTACATTCCCTTCACACCAACTGCCTTTCGCACCCAGCCGTTACACCAGAGCGGCATCTTCGCTCCACATGTCTCCCAACCACCTTCTGTCTCCACAGCAGCCTGGTCTGGGTGGTGGCGGTTGCAGTCTCGCTGGGCTTCCGTATTCGGCATTACCGCTTCAGTCCGCTATCGATATTCCCACTGCGCCGAGTTCTACTGTAGAGCATCATACGCCTTCCCAACACTCGCGTCCAGCCGGCAATGCAGATTTCGGTGCTGTCGAGGGAGACATTGATAAATCGGAAGATCCGACCGGGTGTGTCGTCGGTTCCACCTGCAGGGCTGTGGGCCATTTACTAATGTTCGTGTTGATGTAATGGCGGCAGTCCGCAATGCAGGAGCATCTTAGCAGACGATGAACGTGTTGCCCGGTTATCTAGACAAGAGCTCCTCGAAAAGAAAGACTGGAGGATGCTTCTCATCTTAGAAGTCATTATGAAATGGGCCCACCCCTTCAGTTTCGGAGTCACTTATGTGTGTTCAAGATTACAAGACCTGTGGTGCCGGATAATCGAGGGGGATTCAGACGAAGACTTCTGGCTTTGGGCCGACGGTGATGAAGATTGGCTTCGAAAACGCCAGCCCGGAACAATGTTGTGGTGGAGTGCCAACCTTCGTGAACTTGATTGGGATCGTGCGCAATCGGCCTTGCGTCGTCGGATCTCTCAGCAGCGGTATCCTCCTGCGACTGGACCTTCCGGTAGCAGGAACGAAAGAGTACGCAATGCTACACTTGAACAACGCTTTGCTGCGATTGTCTGGTTACTCTCGAGCTCCAAAGGCATGGCAGAGCTGACCATCGAGCACGGTTACACCCCACCCACATTCCGGATTTCCAGAATGTCCTCTATTTTGAGCTCCATGATCGGCAGCTGCTGGGTTGCGTTTCCTGCTCAAACCGGGGCTTGGGAGAAAGTACTGATGAACTCCGAAAGGGATGGATGTATATGCCTCCGAACGCGTCGGGACGCTCTTCGCACGTGGTTTGATATGTTGGTTTGGTTGGAAGGTATCCCTCCGTCATTGGAAGGAATCGATGATGAGTCATGCATGCGTTGCCGGACCTTGTAGGTTCGCCTTGAAACCCCAGTTTTGGTTTCACTGACCGCTCCTCAGGGTCCAGTCACGCTACCATGAGGATCTAGCTATTGATGGAGTGGTGCGCCCGGATTCCCAGTTGTGGAATATCATGTGCTACCACGCTATCCGCACCACACGACGGGATAATGCCGAGCTGCTCGCCATCTCTTCGAAGCGTATAAGCCAAACGGGCAAGCGACTAGTGGAAAGAACGCTAAACCCCGTGTTAAAGCGCGGTCAGATAGACCTCACGTTTGCTCCGCACATCAACGAGTATCCGAAAGACTTGCGTTTCTCTGCTGCACAGATGTCCTGCATACTTCCTGCGGATACGCAGCTAAACACTTCGTGGCCTGTCCAACTTCCGGATAATGTTTTGGAGGATGCAAACGATCCCTGGATCATGCTAGGCATCATTGCATGGATGTCCGCTTGTTGTCGTTCTGGTTTTGAAGAGTCCACTCGCCAGGACCGACATGACGAGCGGTGGCACACCCACTATCTCGACTATGCGAGCGAGTTCACCGAGTTCCTTTATATGCCTGGACGCCTTCCACGATTATCTGCAGCAGGCATCGAGCTCTGCCATCGACTTCGCATAAGCGAATCCGACAGAACTGTCCTATCTCAGTTTGGAAGTGACCCCCGGCAGTGGTGTCTCATTGTTTACGTTGCTGTGGCCATGTTCCTGCGCAGCAGAGATGTCAGTCTTCCTGGCTGTCCGAGGTGTCGGGTTCTCTTTGAAAGGTCCTGTACCACCGCTTCGCCGACTTTGAAAGTCGATGTGACAGGTTCTGGCGAACCGCAGCCGACCTTCCCCACAAACGGTGCTGATGACGCTCAGCGCTTACCTGACCTGCTCCTCCGGTCTTCGCTAGACCATAAGAGTACGAAGCACCTTGTTGATGATGACATGCACGCGGCAGACAAGTTTCCATCCATCCATCGGTCTAATCTCCCCGTCTCTGGCCCTACCGCATGTCGCTCTGAAACCTCCCTCCCGGAACCCGCGGGAATGGAGGCATTCACGAGCATCACGCACAACAAAACTCTTTCCAAAAATGAAATGCAGTCGCGATTGACTCAGCAGTTCCACATACTGGTCAGTTTATCGTATCTGTGATACTATTCTCTCCCTAACGCACTCCACTCCAGCTCCAATACGTAGATTTCCTCGGGTTAGATACCTCCACTTGTTTCCGTAATCCCGATGGGGATAACACGCCATATCTCGGGTGAGTTATGACCCTTTAACTCGTGTCACGACATGCAACTAAACCACACGTGATTGGCCAGGAGCCCAACGGAAAAGCTTCCAGCAGGCGGTTTACTGAGAGAATCCCTCCCTGACCCTTCGAGACTTACGGAGTTAGATATGATTGAAACAATTAAAGATAAGTTCCTTGAGATGCTCCGTAAGTCAGTATCCATGAAACTAGCGTTCGTTTCTCACACGTGACTTGTGATTTGCTCAGGGGAACTCGATTTACCATGTGAGCACTTGCCTTGGTATACCCTTGAGAAAGACCTAGAGGAGCACGGGTTTGTACTCGTCAATTGGCCGGCTGGGGTTCGCAAGCGCGGCAATAAAGGAATCCGTGACTTGAGTACAGCGGACATCAACTCACTCTACCAGGCGATTATGCACTCGGACGAAGCGTCTCGGCTTCGTATTTGCCGCCGCCCACCAGAACTTACAGGTACGTTTCATATCGAATCACAATACTATGTACTTCCGCTGATCGCGGTTATGTTAGTGGTTCCAGCAAACTATACACTACCCAATTCATCAAGCTCGAAGCGGCCCATGCAGTTCGGCGACTCGGGCGGCCACCCGCCAAAAAGAACCAGATTCAAGGATGAGACTACGAGACTCTTCACACCAAGTCTCATCTAAAACTCGTGCCGAGTCAAGGACTTCGTTTACATATTACAACAATTGACCATTGGTTACAGTAATGCATGTATTATTTGACTGCGTACCGCTCATAATATTTGTATATATAGGACTTTTCATCGGATTTAGACTTTGACTACAATATGTACTTATCTTGACGCCGTATACCGTGCCATTTGTGTGGTGAATGCGGTGTACCGAACTTTGCATTTTATTTGGCATATTAGATTGACTGTATTTTACATACAAGTACGGATTCAGATGCACCGAAGGTCACCGCTAAGCAGTCCAAAAGAACATTCTAGCAATCACAGGTTAGAATGACATGCTGAGAAGCACGTGAAGACCTCTCACCGGAAGGCTTAACGCCACTTACTATTTCTTCCTCGGCGTTTTCGCAGCGGCAGGCTGCTTCGAGACTGGTGGTTCCGCCACTGACTGGACACCTTCTTGCAGTACGGACCACTGGTCAGTGGCGACGTCATCACCGAACCTCTTCCTCCATCTGCCCATACGCCCAGTACCCTCATCCTCCTCGTCCTGTGTAAGCGCAGCAGAGCCTCCACACAGGCGTTCTGTGGCGTTCCAAAGAGGGTGGTTCGTAGTGTCTCGTGTGAGAACGATGCGCGAACGCGGAGAGGTGGTCCAGTGTGTGAATGTTGATCCGTCAGCGCGTATCACTTGCTGCGGGAAGTGGGGGACAACAGGTGCAGGTAGTGATCGCGGATGTTTCTTGCGAATGTGGGACCGGCCATAGGGAGACGTCGAGTGCGCACGAACAAAGAGTGCAGCGTTTGGGCCGAGAATACGATTTGTTGTGCTGAGAGACATCGTAATATGGTTTGACCAAGCTCACTGGAGTCTGATGACTGGACTTGGGCTGTCGATAGACGGTTTGGTAGTTTTCGCGGAAGTCGGCGCGGATTCCCACGACGGCGCTCGTATATGTTTACAAAGACGAGTGCGCCCGGAGAAGGCATCCGTCCCTACTACTACCTCTACGGCCCTGACTCCCGTGCTGGGCCGCCTGGCTGTTTTTCCATGCCGATTGAACATGTCGAGTAGGGAGGGAGCATCCGAGTTTCGGCCTTTCTCCGGACATGCCAGGCGTCCGATATGAGGTATAGCCGGGCCAAACCTAAACAGAAGGAAGTTGATGGGTGCAACTGGTACTTCAACTCACTATCCTAAAGCTAGTAAGTAATGGTATTCTGTCCTCTTTATACATAGGTCATGCGTCGACGGAAAGTGAGGTGTCAGACTCCAGAGCTATTTTCCGCAGGGTGACGCCATTCTCGATCATACAAGCATCACATTCCGCCCGTGATTTGGTACGCAGGTTTTTGATGTGTTTCCGAGTGGCGATATGGCGCTCCTAGGCTGTGGCGTTCGACAGAATGTGACCAGTCTATCAAACAGCATACCTATCCCCCAAGCGTACACGCGTGCCGAAGTCAGTGAATGCCAACCAGAACAAGCAAGAACACAGTCTTTTTGTGACAATTCTGGGTAGCTCTTGACTTACGCATCCCTCGGCACTCACTAAGAGCAAATAGCCATCGGTTGCGGCTACGCAATCAGAATCTTGGTCCTTAAGACCTGCTTGCAGGAGATGAACCTATATTAAACTCAATGACGTTGGAGCCGCTGCTCCATTTCAAGTACTTGTTGGATGGTGTGTGCGTCATCGGGGCGTGGCTCTCGTCCCATTATATACTAACAGTACACTCATGTTGCAGAGCTGTGACCGTCGTATCGCAATTCAGCTGGTTGCAGCCCAAGGCGGCGATAGGAGGTTGGTTGGGTATCAATTCTTTCCAAGAAGACACGATGTACCAGCTTCTTCCGATGCTGTGTCACTACCTCTTATAAGTACGGATTCTTCCTTCATCAGAAAGCGCTTCAAGCTATCTTCGCACCCCACATTTTCGCCCCATACTACTCAACAGTGGAGTATGCCCGCACTTGCAGCCCCCGTTAGGTCGCTTCCCACCCTCCAGAAACTTGGAAGCACGGTCGACCGTAACCTTGACGCTCAAGCCGTTGCTAAAGAATGGTTCCTAGGCTTTGCGGATGCTATGGGTTCCGGTAATTGTATACGAATTGCAAGTCTGCTTCTCGAGGATGCCTTCTGGCGTGACATGCTGGCTCTCACCTGGGACTTCCATACGTATGAGGGAAGAGACACCATCCAACAGTTCATTGCTGATCAGCTGCCGAAGTTTCAACCCTCTGCATTCAGGATTCGCAGTGACCTTATACGACTATATGTGCCCTACGATGACATCGTATGTATTCAAGCCTTCTTCAACTTCGAGACCATGGTGGGGTATGCGTCGGGTATTTTCCGACTTGTTCCCTTGGCAGATGGTTCGTGGAAGGCGCATACCGTGTTCACGAACCCTGAGGATCCTTAGAGGTTTCCCTGAGAAGATTGGAGCCCTGAGAAACCACGAACCATACCATAAAAAGTGGACTGAATCAAGGGAGAGAGAACGTGAATTCCTCGATGAGGAACCTCGTGTCGTTATTATAGGGGGCGGGCAGAGCGGATTGACTGTTGCCGCGCGTTTGAGAGCGCTTGGTACCAAAGCTCTCGTGGTCGAACGAAACAGACACATAGGGGATAATTGGAGGAACCGATACGCGGCTCTTTTGCATGACACTGTATGTAAGTGGACAGTGATATGTCAACGCCCAGTGCCACTGCTGAAGGTTAGCCTAGGGTATGACCATTTCCCCTACATGCCGTAAGCCCCTTGTACCTGTTATCGTTAAGCAAATTTTGATCGTCTCAGATTCCCTTCCTTGTGGCCGGTTTACTCACCTGCAGCTAAACTCGGGGACTGGCTCGAGACCTATGCTCAGTCTCTTGAACTAAATGTGTGGACGTCTGCCAAGGTTACCTCGGTCGAACCGGGCGTGCAAGGAAAGAAGTGGTCAGTCAAGGTCGTCCGCGATGATGGAAAGGGAACGTATTTTCCATGTCAATCACGTCGTTTTTGCTTTGGGCTTCGGAAGTGGTCTGCCCAACATACCCAACATTACTTGTCAAGTAAGTTGTAACTACTAGGTTAGCAACCCTAGATACCGCTTACGATTGCTCTAAGGCGGAGTTTAAGGGCCAGATTCTGCACTCGAGTCAACACAAGCGGGCAACGGATCACCTAGGGAAAAAGGTGGTAGTCGTTGGTGCATGCACATCAGGTACACCATTACGCGTACAGTGTTAGTCACTGCCAACATCCTGCATATAGCCCACGACATCTGTGGCGAATACGTTGCCCATGGAATCGGCAAGTCTTGTCTACCTCTTCTCTTAACAAACACCCAGACAGTCTACCACTAGACGTTACAATGGTCCAGCGAAGTTCAACCTTCGTAATGTCAGCGAAAGAGGGGATTCCAAGACTGACAGGTGGTAAGGCCCAGATCGTGTGCCTCAGGACACCTAATCTTAATTATGTCTCTACGAAGGGCTTTACCTCGAGAGTGGTCCCCCTACAGACATTGCCGATCGCATAAGCGCATCATTTCCGACCTTCCTTCTTAAACTCGTGCACCAACGAGTGGTGAAAGACTTAGCTGAGGCCGACAGGTGCGATTACATGCGACGGAATTGGTCCCCTCATTTTATATAAATGTCTGTATGTAGAGACATCTTGGATGGCCTCCGCAAAGTGGGATTCAAGTTGAACGTGGGAGATGACGACTCTGGTCCTTTCCCGCTAATTTGGAAAAAGGGTGGGGGTTTTCACTTTGGTACGTCTTGCTCTCGTGTTTTCTTCTTCTTCTTTCTTCTCTTTCTTAAGTCGTTCAAACTTCTCGACGGGCTAACCGAGAGCACGAGAAAAGACGTTGGGGCATCGCAACAGATCATCGACGGGAAAATCAAGCTAAAAAGCAACGGGAGTATTACTAGGTTCACACCGAACGGATTGTTATTTGAGGACGGTTCAACCCTTGAAGCGGATGTAGTCATCTTGGCCACTGGGTGGGTAAACGTCTTTGATTCTGGAGCCGCCTAATCTTGCATGCCAAATAGCTACGCGGATGGGCGTATTGCGTATCTCCAGTTGCTACCAAGTCACTTGCATGATGCCGTTCAACCCCTTTGGGGCCTCGACGAGGAGGGAGAATTGTACTCCGTAGCCCGCGAAATCGGAGGACGAGGTCCCCAGGCTGCGAAAGTCGCTGGACTATGGGCAATGTTAGGCAATTTGGCCATGTGTCGTTTCCACTCCAAACATGTTGCATTGCGCGAGTAGTTCCGGCTGATCTGAGTTTTTTTGTCGGGCTGATATGGTTGGCAGAAATCAAGGCTTATGAAGAAGGCATATTTGGCGAGCGGTACTGACCTTGTCCTCACTAGTGATCGTGAGTTCCCTCGGAACGATCGAGAGGGAATGAGTGTCTCCTGTTGGGTCTTTGGTTTACCTAGGGGAGACTACCTCGGAGCAGTGGTCGTCTCAACTAGCTAAACCACAAGTTCAACCACAGCTGCTATAGATTGACTATATGTTACATGGTATCCTTGTTCTCATCTTCATTGACCCTATCCCGCAGATGATTGAAGTCTAGGTTTGTCTCTGGGTGCTTTGAATTACAATCTTCCCTCTCTCTCTCAAGTCCCCCGAGGATATTGACTGCGTGGTACATATACAACTTAGTGCTTCGCTTTCACCCCCAGAAACTGAGATACACATGTAAGTAATTGAGACCGGCTAACCCGATCATCTTACACTTGTCGAGTGTTGCAAAGTCCTTATGACGCGTTGAAGAAAGTACGAGGAATCTCCGAAATTGCAAGCCATGTATATAGACTTGTCATTCCTGATTTTGCAGGATTCACTAACTTAGGGAATGCGAAAGTGCTAGAATCCTACTATACAGTAATCAACGCGCCGGAAGTAGCCCACGGCGACGAAGCCGAGAGAGGCGTATTATCATGTATGTATCACCTCTCCACGGGGGAGACAGGGTGGTGTAGTCCGGACGCCATGGAACTCCTCTTGATCTACCTGGGACCGCAGTCCTTCGAAGAGGCGTTGAAGGGGTGAGAGAGAGCCCCTCTGAGCAATGAACTGAGCTCGGGGGAAGCTGTATGTTGATCTGTGTGACCGTACATGTGCTTATCCGGGTCTTCGTCCATCTGAATAAGCGATATGCCTCCTTACAGCGTCCCGGGAACTTCAGTGTTGTCAACAGTGACCTTTTCCATAGGTCTATGGGCACAGCATTCCAGCCTCACTGACTCCTCGCTGGTGGAACGAAGTGACTACTAGTAAAGGGTGGCTCGAAGTTGGCGCCTGCGCTGCCGTCGCCACCTACTCGCCCACAGCAAGACTGCTAGTTTTCTATGTAAGCGGAGTTACGGAGCGTTGCATAGAATTGAGTCCATGCGTGAGTAAGACACGTCTCTTGTCTTCTGCACACTTCGCGAATTGCAGATTCTGCGCCTCCAGCTGTCGCGCAGATCTCCTCTCGTTTTTCGCACCCACCCGCCTCGCCCTCTCTCAGGTCTAATCGCCTGCAGGCAGGACATTGTCATTTGGCAAAGCTACGAAGAATTGACCTGCTCGGCACCCAACAGTTCCATCCGTTAAGCTCCTCGCCCCGGTATATATTATCTAGAACCCGCGGTGTCTCTGTTTTTCTTCCTTCACTGTACGTAGTTTCTCTCCAAGAAACAAAGCGTTCGAAACATATGGACCACAAATTAGCTATGGCCGTAGGCGGCGGTGGCGGCGTAGGCACCAACTTTGAGTAGTGACCCTAATGTCACACCAGCTTCCTCTTCCCCCTGCCGACCGCCAGACTTCGTACGCAACCCTGGCCGTCACCGATGGAACAGTCATCGTCACTTAGCAGATACCACGCGTCACCAAGATCCCGCATACTACAGTATCTCTCTGAACGGGCATCCAGATACAGTATTAATCTCGACGGTGAAATACGTCGCACCTGGGAGGGGGGTGTCCTGCGTGGCGGTAGTGCCACTATATACCACGGTACTTTGCTTCGAGACGGTACCCAAGTGGCAATCAAAGCCTTTCGTTACACGCTGTCGGAGAGCGAGGCTGAATTGAAGGTACTTGCAGGATTCTCGATGCTCGTCACAGCTCGAGCTGAGTTTTCCTATTCAGCGTCTATTTCGTGAGGTGCATACATGGTCCAAGCTGCATCACGAGAACATTGTTCGTATGCTCGGGATCTCTACAGAATTTGATTCCACACTTTCGATAATATCTGAATGGATGCCATTGGGGAACGCACACTCTTATGTCCAAAATACAGAGAATGATCCGCGGCCGCTTGTGCGTCAAAGCGTATGTTGTCATCTTCACACTACTTGACAGACTTGTTTAGCTTGAAGACATCGCAAGTGGCCTCTACTATCTTCATCATCATGAGCTGGGTCCAATAGTTCATGGAAATCTAAATGGTGTAAGCGTGCATGTTTTATAGGTTCTTGTAGTTGACCCATCCTTCGATAGTCAAATGTACTGATATCTAGCGATCGCCGGGCATTACTGACCGACTTTGGCGCTTCTACGCTACACTCATCTACCTTCAGCATGTCCGTCGATGCTATCCAACAAATCTCGTTCCGTTGGGCGGCCCCGGAGGTTCTAAATGACTGTCCTGCGTCAATGGAAGCCGAAGTGTGGGCATTTGGAATGACGGCTCTGGTGCGCTTTCCAGTTTTTCTCTTCGCGCAACGTTAAACGTACACGTAGGAGTTGTTCACTCGAGCGATACCTTTCCACGGTTGTGGTAGTATAAAACATGTGATCGACATGTTATTCGCGGGGAGGCTACCGCCTCGCCCTTCCGAGGAGTCAACGCAATTCCGCCTGACAGATGAATGGTGGAGCATTTGCACATCATGCTGGGGACGTGATCCTTCATCGCGCCCCACAATGCAGGATATCATAGAGAAAGTTAGGTTTGCTATTGTCCGTAGTCGACGCTTTCACCAAGTTCTCCATGATTTGACTCCGTTTTGCAGTACCCAGCTGGGGCGATCTTGATGTCGCAGCGACCCTCCGTTGAGCAGGATTGTTACCTACCGGATGTCCCACATCAACAACAAACAATGGAACTATCCCCCATGTTGCGCAGGCTCTCTGAACAGGCATCCCGATACAGTATTAATCTCGACGGTCGAATCAGTCGTAACTTGGGATCGAGTCCTCTGCGCGGCGGTACCGCCGTCGTATACCAAGGTACTTTGATTCCCTACGACACCAGAGTGGCGATCAAAGCCTTTCGTTGCACGCTATTGGGCAGCGAGGCTGACTTGAAGGTGCTTCCTCTGATAGTCTTCACAGCTCCAACTGAACATTCCCTGTTTAGCGTATCTTTCGAGAGGTACACCTGTGGTCGAAGCTGTGTCACGAGAATGTTGTTCCCATGCTCGGGATCTCTACAGAATTTGACTCCACTTTTTCGATAATATCTGAATGGATGTCATTGGGAAACTCACACGCATATGTCCAAAACACAGAACATGATCCGCGGCCGCTTGTGAGTCAAAACGGTGTACTGTTTACCTTGACACTAATTGACATACTTGTTTAGCTCAAAGACATCGCAACAGGATTGCAATATCTTCACAGTCATAAGTTGGGTTCAGTAGTTCATGGAGATCTGAAGGGTGTAAGCGTGCTCTGTCTATGATTTTTGTATTTGACCCATCCTTCAATAGTTCAATGTGCTCGTGTCCGATGAACGCCGGGCGCTACTGAGCGACTTCGGTTGTTCAACCCTAGATGTCTCTAATTTCAACATGGCTGTCGATGGCTTCCGTTGGGGCTCGTGCCATTGGATGGCGCCTGAGCTTTTGGGTGACTGCCCCGCATCAAAGGAAAGTGACGTGTGGGCATTTGGGATGACGGCTCTGGTACGCCTTCCGATTTGTTCCTTCGCGTAACGCTCATTGTATGCCCAGGAGTTGTTCACTCGAGCAGTACCTTTCCCCGATTGCCATAATGAAACAAATGTACTCGGTAGGCTGGTAAGGCGGGAACTGCCACCTCGGCCCGCTGAGGAGTCAACGCAATTCCGCCTGACAGATGCATGGTGGGACATTTGCACATCATGCTGGAGAAGCGACCCTTCATCACGTCCCACAATGAGGGATATCATAGAGGGAGTCGAGGCTGCCATTGTCTGTACTCGGCCCTCTCACTAAGCTTCTGTGTTTTGACCGCGTTTTTGCAGTGTCAAGCTGGTCCCTCCTTAACACCCCCTGAAGTTTCCGCTTCTGCGTGTCCAATCTCAAAAGAGGCAGAGAGCCATCAGGAACCACAGTGAGTCAGAAGCTCTCCGGTACACCAACGTATCGGTATACTAACTCGGCGTATCTGCTTACTTTGTGTGCCATTGCCCCTCATCTGAATTTTTACTGCTGTCTTGACAGGAACCACGAGGTTGCGAGAAGTGATATTTGGACAGGCCAAGCGTCAGAAAGCATCGACTTGATGAAGACTACCTCGGAATCCCCAGCTTGCGCTACTGACACTAATATGTCCCCTCTCAGCACTGAGTTTGACATGTGCACACCATTTGCCCTGGCCACAGCCGATGAGAGCAATTTGGTTAGTTTGGAGCCAAATAATGCCGAGGACGAATCTTCGCCAATAAGTTCCGAGAAGACCTCTCGACCAGCAGGTACGGGTTGAGTCTTGCCATGTTTCTAAAAGACCTACATCTCACCAGGGTCGCCACCGTACTTTAAGAGTCAGATGTCGCAATCAAGTTCGACATCGGAGGTCGTATCCCGAGGAGCTGATATATCGGAGACAAATGCAAAGAGCATGATAGTTGGGTGAGTCGGATGTCATGTTTTGTTGCGCCTGCTCAATCACCCTCTTTAACCGCTCTTTAACTGCCAGATCAATGGGACCGACAGGCCCTGAGGAAAGTTCGGTGGGCAGCTCATGAAACATGTATTATGGAACATAAGCTGACTTGGTGAAGTTCATGGGCAGGAGCAAGGGGATAACGTACGAGGGCGTGACTCAAGCAGAGAGCAGAGGAACAGATGAGGAGACCGCAAAAGACCTCCAGAGTGAGTATCCCGAAGTGAAGGATCGATTAGAGTCTGCTTTATTTGAGGGGCCAGCGTCAAAGATGTCGCTCAAACATCATGTCAGTAGACGCATGCAGGCAGTACGGAAATGTGAGTAAATCACCCCTTTCATTCCTGCTATATAGCTTCCCTTCTTCAGCATTCCAACGCCGACAGGTACAACTACCTTGAGGTCATCTCCCGTATGCAGCATGGTTGAGTAGTCGTTGGCTCCCATGGTGGTGTGATATGTAGTCTTCTGTGGTATTGTGTTGCCTATCATGCTGCACTCTTTTTCCCTCCAGTGTCCAAGTACATTTGTGAAGATCACATGTATTCTGCTACATTGTGATGTGCACTGCTGCAATGCCTAAAAATCAAGTGTTTAGTAACTCTGCATCCGTATTTGGGAACTGCCATCTGTGAGAGTTTTCAGTGTGACTTACATTTATGACCAGATGTCTAGTGAGGTGCCCCTAAGGATGGATCAGTAACATTGTGCTGTGACAGGATGTAGGTGCCACACTTGTCTCTCTAAATTATTGCCAGCTGGGCTCTATTTGCACAGGTGCCCTACCACTCATTGATTAGTGCATGAAACTGACACCACAGCCTGCTTGTCCAACAAAAAGGGGGCCGCACCGACGTGAACACATAAAACATGCTAACTACAGAAGTCCGGCCAAAGTAACTCACTACTTTCTTCGGAACAATGACCTTATGGACAGCCACGAACGGGAACGGGAGGGCAGAGTAGCATGATTCTCAGTGAGACTCTCCTCCATACGGCTCTCAGTATGGCCCTTGGTATCGTTCTCGGTATCTACAATCATCTCCACAATCCGCAACATCGTGGGTCGTTGAGACGGATCATATTTCCAACACAAGGAACATATCCGCCACCATTTTTCTGTGAGACGAGAGTAAGTGCACTCTGCTCCGGGGAGGTCCGGTGGCGGACCTCTCGTGATCCGGGTCATCACGGCAGGAAATTGATTGAGACTATGAAAAGGTAGTCTCCTGGTGAAAAGCTCCTGTACAGAAGACGGCGATCGATGGCAGTATCAACAAGGGGGCACCAAGAGACTTACCAGCGCAGTCATCCCAAACGCCCACGCATCAGCCTTGGGAGTCACCCCGCTGGCATCCGAGTCAATACCAAAGCATTCCGGAGCCATCCATCGCGGGGTACCCCCAATGGGAACCTCAACTGGTAGATCAAATGCAAAGTTGACAAGAAAGGAGAGACTAAAACCCGTGAGAAGCGGCTGTCCTTCATCAGATATTAGGACATTCAGCTACTGTGGAATTATGAACCGAAAACAGGAAGGGCAGACTAAGCTACTCACTCCCTTCACGTCGCCGTGGTATACTGGTGGTTGATGATCATGGAGGTAGCGTAATCCTTTAGCTATCCCTAAAATCTGACTTGGATCGACATCGAAGAAGCGTAACTCAAGCTCCATGCGCTCACCAAAGGGCGAGGATCAATGGTGGGATCCTGCACGTATTCGTGTGCATTTCGATCCATCCAAGGTGACACTATCGAAATAGACTTCTCGAATGTTGTAGTAATACCCAACAACGGAAGAATATTTTTGTGGCGGAGCTGGCACAAGACGTATACCTCCCGCAACACCCGCTGCCCACTGCTATAACACTCAAGAAAAGCGGTTGATATACGTTGACTACAAACCTTTTGACCGCGGTCCTCTTCGCCAAATGCATATGGCGGGAGTGTCTTGACCGCTACCTTCCTGCCCTCGGGGCGCAGTATCCCTCGATATGTGATGGAAATACCGTCATAACGAGATGGAGTTTTGTCTCGTTCGACGAGCCATGCAAAATCAACGCAATACCGTGAACCAAGTCTCAGCAACTTATCGACGTCTTCTTGAGCGGCTTCCTGCGTTTCTTAGATCTGTTCACTGAAAAGATTTGAACAAGGATACGCACATGTCGCCTAGGTGGATCAGCGGGAAGCGACATATTCGTTCCAAAAACACTGCAGGTTTGCTCGAATCTTATATCCCAACACTGTTTCTGGAGTCGAGAGGGAACGATTAGGGTGGCTCAAAGTTGGCGCCTAGCCACCGCCACCACCTTCGCCTATATACAGCTAACTTGTGGGTGATTGAAGTCCAAGTTTTGTCTCTGGATGCCTTGAATCATGATCTCGTTTCCTAAGTTCCTTGTGGGGATCAACTACCGTGGTATATATGCAGCTCAGTGCTTCGGCTTCATCCCTAGGAACTGAGATACGTAGGCGTGCATGAGAACAAAATTTGATTACCTTTACCCCTTCAGTGCCGCCCACTATCGAAGAAAATACAGGGAATCTCTATTGCAGACGGTGTATATAGACATGTCATTCCTGATCTTGCAGGATTCACTAACTTAGAGAATGCGAAAAGTAAAGATGACCAACCCGCCGGAAAACAGCCCACCATTGACGAAGCTAAGAGAGACGAACTTACCGCCCGCCTCTCTAGACAGCCTCCCACTTTCAACTGTGCTCTATGATCACCATCGCCATCATTGTCTACATAATAGTATTGTCCAAAGCCCGACCACGAGCACTTGCAGGCGCTGCCAGCCGTCACGCCCCCGCTTTAGAGCGAGGACGTCTCAGCGTTCGCGGGCGAGCTGCTGTTCCCAGTAGCACCATTACCCCGCTCCCCGAGGATATACAACATATGATCGACGACCTCCTCAGGAGTCGTCACATGCCAACCTGCCAGCGTCCGCTTCGAACTGGGTCCTACGGAGGTAGTGAAAATATCTTCAGGCTGAATCGCAAGTTCGACATCCGGTGCTGCGGGAGACGAGCCGGAAGACGACGAGGATTTATTGGCGAGTGTTACTGAGAGGGGTGCTTCCATGGTCGTCCTCCCAGAGGGAGAGGAAGGGAAAACATGGAGTGCGCGGAACATATCTTCGTCGGTCTATGTAAACGCGTGAACATCGGTGTCGTCAACGGGTGGGAGTGGAGTCTTACTTTGTCATCACCCGCACAAAAGACGAGCTCTGCATCCGGATTCGTGTATAAGAGACGCTTGACAATTTCGCCCTGTGGTAGCATATCGAAGGTAGATGAGTTTTCGCGTTCAAATTAACACAGGTCAAGAGGATATTCAAGGGAGCACGTTACCTTGTTGACAGCGATCGGCCGGACCTCGAGGTTCTTTTTCCCAACAAGCACCTCGATCGGGCGCTTAGAAACCACGTTATTCTCTAATAAGTCTTGGCACTGCCTGCACTGGAACAACCTATCCCAACAACGGTTACAAAGAGACACCAGAAAAAACAAAACAAAAGAAGGCGCTTACCCCCACTCCGGATCGCTGGCTCTATAGTGCCACACGATTGCAGACTTCTTAACCTCAATGTGACTTCCGGTCGTCCGTTCCGTGTAATACTTGAATATCTCCAAAACCTCTTCCATCCATCCCATATCCAACTTTTCCGTGAAATTAATCCACTTGCGATTGCTGTCGTGAGGTTCGCGTACGAAGCCACCGTGTTCGGCACTCATACCGAGGTGTTGGATGTGGCCAAGGTGGAGTTCGAGGAAGGCTTGGTCTCGCCCCGAGACGATATACACGATGTTAGCTGGGTCGGAAGTGAGTTTTGTCAGCGCAAGGAGGGCATCGTTGGAGGGAACGGCCATGGCGGGGGTCTTGACGATCGGGGTCAATGTCCCCTGTGTTCACATCACGCCAAATCCAGTCCGTCAGTACATGCAGAGAACAACCAGAGAAAGGACCCACGTCATAATCAAACAAAAACAGCCTCTTCTTCGCCCGATCGTAGCTCTCCTTCAGCCTATCCTTGGGTAAGTACGGCGTGCGCCTCGCCGTAGTCTGCCCAGTGATCTGGGAGAGTAACATTTTCACGAGGACGGACGCCCAGGTGTGAGAGGTGTGCGTCGTCACGACGCGATGGAGTGCTGCATGTCTCGAGGCCTTCGATTCTTCGGACATGAGAAGACCGCGGTTCATGGCAGCGGCAACGTCCTGTCCTGCACATCAACCAAAGCAAAAATCAAAAGGTAACGGAGACGCACACCAAGATCCCAGGGGTTAACCAGTAATGCCTCAGACATATGTTGGCTAATGCCCATAAATTCGCTCAACACCAACGGCGACTTCTTGGTTATCTCCTGTGCGATCACAAACTCCATGGACGTCGTGTTCATTCCATCTCGGAGGGGGGTGATTACGCCTAGGTCAGCTGCTTCTAATAGCGCATAAAATTCATCTTTCTTAAGTGTTTGGTGGCTAGAGGAAGATGCGGCAGAGCACCGCGCTATGAGTGGGACGACTAGGCCAGAAAAGAAAAGAGACATACTAGTGGTGAACGGGTATAAAATGGAGACTTCCGTATTCTCCGTTGATGTGTGCGATGAGCTCGGAGACTTGCCTTTCCAACTTGGGCGAATCCGTCAAAGCCGGGGACGTCACCTATACTCGTACACACAAGCGTACAGGCACGGCATACAAATCAGTTTTGTCGTTCCGTCGGCCAAACGCAAGACCAAGCGGTCATGGATGACTACACACCTGAATAAGTACCACCTCGCCTCTCCACTCTGGATAATCGTGTAAGAGCTTCTCAAATGCACGGAGCTGCGATCGTCAATAGAGGCGCGTCAGATGTATCTCCAAAACAGGGGAAAGTGTAGAGGCACACCTTCTGAAGGACCCCTTTGACGACGTCCAACTTATCTCTTCCAACTATGATCTTTTTATCTCTATACAAGGTTCTAAGCGCATCAAGCTTCGGCTGAACACCAGGTCTCAGGCTATCCGAATCACACGTAATGAATACGATCGTCGACCGGAATTAGGAGAAAGAAACTCACGTATCCCTCTTCACTCTCTCCGCATCGATCCCGACGGGACAATGCCCGACAGCGACGAAGTGACCCTGGGCGTCGACGCCTACATATTTCTCACCAATGTTGCGTTTCGTGGGTGACCGTTCGAGCTCGACTGGGCCTGCAGTCTTCCCGGTAGTGGCGATGGTGGTGATAGCATTAGCGCATGGAGAAGAACATGAGCCGTTAAGGTTCGATGCGGCCGGATTATTCGTGGGTATCGTGGGTGCGACGACCGTGCGAGATGTGGTCTCGTGTCCGCAGACGCGGACACAAGTGGAGAGGAAGTGTCGGGAGTAGGAGTATGTCTTTAGAGGATATAATGTAAGACATACAAGATGATGGACAAGCCGGATCAGAATACACACCTGGAAACACACGAGGTTGGCGCCAAGCATTCCTTCAAGGATTTCATTTCTGCCTGTGGGTGGGTATCAGCTGATTGGACCATTCCACACAAAAGCGACAGTGAGGGTGCTTACGCGGCAGGCATCTGAATACCTCAGAGCTCGGGAATGGGGTGTGGACAAACAACCCGATGATGACATCTGAACCTCGCTCGCCCACGGCTGCCCTCAACAGACGAGGAACGAGTAAAAGATGGTAGTCGTGCACCCAGACAACATCGCCAAGTTTGAGCACGGATGCGAGGCGGGATGCAAAGGCTTGATTAGCCTGATGAGATCCGATCAGGTGGATTATTTCATGAGAAGCATCAAGAAAGATCGCTGAGAGTCAGTATTCAGTAGTGTATAGACGACAGTGCGAACCTGCTCGTATTGTTCGTAGTTTGCGTCAGCGGACGCATACTCGGTAGCGACATCTTGCCAGAGGAGGTAGTGGAAGAGAGGCCAGAGAGCTGGAAGATGTGTGGTTAGCATCGTCGTTGTATGGGTCGATCATGTCCCGGTAATCAACGTGCATGCAAATCGTTCTCGATATCCGCGAAGGATGTCAAAGCAAGACAGCGTCCGACACCCAAAAGGCAAGTTGAACCCTGAAACAGCCACGTTTGTCGGGAGTAATAGGAAGAGAAGGACACGGTGGCAGATACGATCAACAGCAACAAAAAACAGGAGAAACTACAAAAAGGGCAAGTTGGTGTCGACACGACTCACTCATCTTGCAATATCCATCGTAGTGGCCGTGAGCGACCTTGTCCTCTAACCAGACGGGAACGTAATCGATCTTATGTGCTCCGGTGGTGCCCTGACCGTCATCGTCGTAACCGACGAGCTCGGCTTCGAGGGCGTCCCTGTCTGCCTGAGTCACCTGAGCACTAGGCACGCGTTCACCCGAGGGTGCCACGTTCTCCTCCGGGTTGGAGGTAGCCCCATTGGGGACGGACATGATATCACCAGTCCATCCGACGATGAGCTGATCGTGGGTGGCTGAGAGGGAGCGGATACCTGAGAACATGGCAGCGTGGCCATAGCGCGGTGCGAGTTTCCACCTTTTCGGATCTAATGAGTTGGAGTCACCATGGGCCCCATTGGCAGCGGTGGCTGCTGCTGACTCGTCCGATGGGCTTGGTGGTACCTCGCCCGGTAGAACAGGAGGAGTGGGTGGAGGCGAGAGGACGCCGGCGGGTGTGCGAGTGACAAGAGAGGGCACGACTGGCAAGTAGTGGCATACATGGACGATTCGGCCGGAGAGAGGCGTGCCCTGTGTGCGATGAGCGTCTTCGAGTGCAGAAACCTGCTTGCGGACTGCGTCGAGAGAGATGTCGTCGCCTGCGCGGGTGTATGGCTCTGCAAAGGTGTCCATGCAAGATGTTTCTAGGCAAGGAAGGGAAGGACGGTCGGGTTTATATGGAGATGGATTATCTACCAACTAGACTAGTTAAGAGCTGGAATCTGATTTATGGGTGGCGTCCGCTCGATTAAGGACGACGTCAGCCTCCGCTCTCTCGGCATCCCCCGGCCCGGCATCCTGCCTATTTGGCCGACGAGGCGCGTCTTTCCAGCCTGCTCCGCCAAATCAGACAGCCGCTGGACTCCCCCCGGAACTCCGATAGACTACAGCCCTGATTGCCAGCGTGTCATCAATGGAGATTTCAGGATCAGTCCTGCGCCACGTGCGCCACAGGAAAGTCTAGGGATCGGTCTGGGCCAGTCATAAACGTTTGCGGGAGACGCAAGCAGCCAGCACTTGTAGTTAAACGAGTGGTCGTCGTACCAGGACCCCTTTCCGGACTCAACGAGAAAAGGCAGCTATTGTTTAGCCTCATGTCATTATGTTGCAAATTTATTTGGTCCATTGTCACGTGCCCCCATTGTAAGCAGCATGCAATGGACCACTTGCCATTATAATGGTCAGGTTTGGCTAGATTATAGCAAATATGTGATATTTTATCTAAGATATAGTGCAAATGTGTAAAATATTATGTACACATACCCATTTTTGGCAATCTTTCAATGACACATGGGTGGCATTGGCATGGCTTATAATGGGTGTGAACAGCCACCCTTAACATGTATTATAAGGTTCTTATCATGTGCCCAAGAAATTTGCAACATTATAGCTACACTTAGTTCGAAAAATTGGCAGGTGGCGATGCCGTGGGAACTTCCTTAAAAGGAAAGGCCGCCCTCAGGCAGGTGGGTGGGGAGGGGGTTCAAGCATTTGGGGTGGGCCCTGCTGGGCATCACAATGTCAGGGCTCAGGCAGGATGGCTTGGGAGGGTGCTGAGGAACTCTGTTCACATCCTACATGTGTTTATCTATGCTCTTAACCAATAAAAAGTGGGAAATTGGCATCAGGAATGGGTTGTAAAGTGCAAAATCCATTGGAAAGTGTGCTAAGTGACTTAGCACCAGGAAATTTGCAGCCAGATAAGCAAATTTTCCCAGGTGGGAGGGTGGCCTATGCCAATTTTTTTGCAAGCATGCAGCCAAGCCTGAAGCACAAGCACCACATGCAAGGTGTGATCATGTGACTGCTTCCCATGCCTGAACACCACTCATCTAGCAAATTTGGGCAGGTCTCTTTGCAGAATACCCATTTATTTCATGAATAGTTACATGGCTGACATAGAGTGGCTTCCAGTAGCATTGAATTGAGTACAGATGCATGGGCAAGGGTTGAGCACAGCCCAGAAGTCTCCCAACCCTCACTTTCTTGCACATGCACCTTCCGCTTAGTCAGCGAAATTTGCAGTGGCTGTAAGCACAGCCACCTGCAAATTTTTCGGAATAAATGTACATAATTACACAGGATGATGGCAATGACAACTGCAAATGCTCATGAACCAGCCACTTCATCTTGATTCTGTTGCATGACTTTACTATTCATTGACCTGAACCTAATTCTTTTTGATGGGTGTGAATCATGTTCTTCTATAGGGCACTTTGAGCCTGATGCAATGACTGAGGTGCAGTCTACTGGCTCTACTGACACAAATAAAATGATTGAAATGAGCAAACATAGCAGTGGGATTTGCCATAAATACCTGTCAATGTGAGTGGGCAGTGATGAATATGTAGATGGTGAGTTTTGTCAGACATGCAACAGCCTTGTAGAGTTTGTCCACTTCCACAGCACTCAGGTCATGGATTCCTCTGTCACCACATTTGTGGAGAACTCCAGCCAGCCAATTGACCAGTGCAAACCTGTGCTTCTCCAGGTCTTTCTTGAGAGTACACCAAGGCAACCACTTGAAGTGTAATTTGAGCTTCCCTGAGTACATCAGATCATATGAGTGATCTAAGATTGTTGTCATTGACTTGGTGAGCATATCAAGAAGTTTATCCTTTATTGCCTCAACCTTGTCTGACTTTGATGGCTTCAATGAACCACCATCTCCCAGTATGTGTCTTAGGGTGCTTTCCCTTGCATCCCTAATTAGTTGTGAGGCACTTCCAAATCAAGGGAGTGTGACATACTCAAGACATGGCCAATTGTGACCATCTGAATGGTGGAAACAATTGGATGCATCCAAACCACAGGAGTTAAGGTACTTCCTCTGGTGTCAACCTTGTCAGGAGGAAGCATCATGCAAGACATGATAGTGGACTGACCAGTTTAAGGAATTTCACAACCACTCCCAACTGCACCTCATCTTTCAAAAGCCTCAGGTTACATAGCATAGCTGTGAATGCCTCCATTCCTGCAGGTTCCTGAATGTTGGCTTCTAGGGATCCCTGCCATGATGGAGAAACATGTCCTCTCTGTGTGTCATTATTGCCAGAACCCATTACATCAAAGCCTGTGGATGGTGATGCATCAGCAAAGGACTTCATACAGATAGCTCTGCACTTCTGACAGGGATAGACATCAATGTTATTGCTCTGAAGGAACATTGCTACATCAATGAAGATGACAGTGCTGAGGTGCAGCTGTTGGCCATCTCAGTCAGAGGGGACCTAGTCATCATCATCATGTATGTTAGACTTGCTAAAGAAATGTTCTTCAGAATAGTCCCAGTCAAGTTCATGGCAAAGCCTGATGCTTGTAGAAGACAACTGGGGGAGCATGGGCATATCAAAGCATTTAAGGGAGGTGTGAAGAACAAGCAAAAAATCTCTGTGCCAGTACTGGTCATGCAGATTACTGTTTTTGCTAACAAGGTTACTGTGAATCATCAATGCAGTTATACCTAGTACCATCCAAGGGTCATGTGTACCATCAAAGATGTTATCAGGAACTTGAAGTTCATCCAACTCCAACTCTGAGTTATTATCTGATGCACAAGACAGCTGCACAACATGCTCCCACAAGGGTTGCAGGTACTTGTTGACATATGGAAGATATTGCATGTCCAAGCTATACTCCTTCATCAAAGGTTCCAGTTTTTTGTCCAACATGTACTTTGCTGTTGGGATTAGATGCCATGAGAAGACTCCCATTTTAAGGATGCTGCAACAGTAGGAGGAAAAGGCTTCCAGCAATGAGACATGCAAAATCACTGTATGTTCAGTAGTTATGTCCTTGTATCATGATCTGACCCTTGTGAGTGGTCAGTTGTACTAAGGCAAAGATATGATGTGAAGCTAGACCTACAAGGACTGGCAACACTTGCAGGATTTGCAACCCACCTCCAAGATGGGAGGTGTTCCCTCCAACCAAATGATCATATTGAACCATTGCTGCATACCACACCAATCTGTTGGAGAGCATATGCACCCATCTTCCTTGGCTTCTGTCAAGGTGTTGGTCTGGGAATTGGTTTCAGAATGAAACTCTTCCCAGTACTTGCCCATGATATCCTTGAGAGTAGATACTATGCATGGAGTCCTGAGCATGGGAGGAGTACAGCCATGAGAGGTGAACAGTTCTGCCACCCCTTTGGAGCTGATGATTAACCACCTAATGGCAGAAAGGCACTGTCACACACCAAAGGTGTTGTGGACATGGTTACAGCTGACTCTGCCTAACTTGTCAACAAGTTGTGTGCAATGCCCATGAATGCAGATGAAGACTGAAGGCCTCATGTGTAGAAAGACTGCTGGATGTGAGCAGTCATCCTTCACACAAGAATGACTCATCAGTGCTAAAGAGAAAAGAGGAAGTGAGTTAAGCATGCATTAAAAGTTTTTAGTGCCCATGTATGGCATTCCAGTTTTCATCATATCTCCACCATTTCCAAAGATATTGATTCCATTCTCACACTTGCTTAAAGTGCTCAGCCATGCAATTCTGCCTTCCAAATTTGGAGAGGATCCTCACACCCTACACATTTCTACAGCACTCCATCCTTCAGACACTCATTTTGTGAAGTCCATCAATAATGGCCACCTCTTCATTGATCATCTCACTTGTCTCACTTGCCAGAGACAGTGGCTACATATATCTGCCAGTCATTCCCACCAGCTTCTGTCCTGAAGCCCCCTGGTTCATCCCATCATTGTCAGCCCCATCTCATCCCATGCAGCTTGGTCAGCATGTTCTCCTCATCAGTATGACTTGCAGAAGGACATTCTTTGGTTGCCTCAGGTCTGTCACTCAGTTAGAAAGGTCTTATGTGGTCATTTCAGTCTCCCCAGTTGATGAAGCATTTGGATTGTTCCTCCATGCTCCCTGCACTGTCTTTATTCCAATCTTGTCCATCATTCTCCCCATGTTGTGACAGCTGCAGCATAATCTACTGTTCTCCAGCCTCCACTGCAAGCATTTCACAATTTTTCATGACAGAACATGTTGAAAAAAATTGAAAGAAGAGATACAATGTTATTTTGGATGTTTTCAAACAAAAAATCCAAAATTAATAATTTATTTTCTTTGCATGTCCCACCTATAAACATTAATTGACAGTAATGACCATTAGCTTCTAGTCAAATGACAATTACTGTCAATTTATGTTTGCTGGTGGAGAAAGCAAAGAAAATGAAATATTATTTTTAGATTTTGTCTCTGAAAACATCCATTATAACATGGTATCTCTTCCTTCAATTTTTTTCAACATCTTTGGTCATGAAAAATTTTGAAATGCTTGCAGTGCTCCCTGATTGCATCCATGACAAGTATGATGTGCATCTTGCCTTCTTACTGCAAGATTCAGCAGAGGATGTCCCCCCTTCTCCTCCTCCTCCATCAGAGCCCTGTCCATGAAGCTTTTGTTAACTTCACTGAGAGGATGAAAGGGTGGGAGACACAATCACATATGATCCCATTGCCCCACAGACCCCCAACACCCTAGCCCCTTTGATGCCTGACTCATGCCCTTCAATTCTGGAATTAATACTTCCCTATCTGGAAACACCATCCATCTGTCATGCCATCTTTGGATCTAGTGATGTCTCTGCCAAGATCTGACTTGCATTGCCACCCCCTAATGTGATATCAGTGTGCTTACTCAGTTTCTGACTCTGTTTGACTCATTCTGTGATATTTTGACTGTCCTTGACTTGTTCATTGCCAATACTTACCAATCTTCTTTGCTTGCTTACTTTTCATTTCTTGCTTACTCATCATGATTACTTGGTCCTTACTCATTACTTACCAAGCATTTAGTCATAACTAATGTAAAACATAAAAACATGTGGACAGTTTTTTGAGCCACTGTATCTAGTAGAACATACCATCTATCACTTTGCTATACTGAACCCCAGGTAACATAGCATATACATCACTCCACACCCCAATTGCACCAAAAGGCAGTATATTTCAAAGTATATTTCAAAGACAACACATGTACAGTAGTGGGCAAGTGGTAGCTATGGTCTAACCTCAATCTGACTCATCCTCTGTTGTTGACCCATCCTGATGTTCCTTGATTGCAGCCACAATGATGCATGCCAAAACCTTGCACTGGGACTCTGTCATGAGTGCACCAGCACCTGAGTGAACACTACTTATAGAATTAGTTATGATGCACCTTGATGTATGGAAGCACACATTGGCCAATGGCATTTATCTTAGAACATATAGCTGGTAAGACACCAACCTCTTTAGTGGCATCATCAAAATCTTGAAGGCACTTCAGGTACAACTTGGAGATGGAACAGTATTCCTGTGTGGTGAAGGATATACAGTGAGGGACAAAAGCATTGCAATGTTTGTGAGGTGTGAATTGTTGCTGATGTAGCTTGGGCTATTCTGCATGGATAATCATGATACCTATACCAATGGAAAGGGGTGACTCTAAGCTTTCTGGAGCACTAAGGTTAAGCCAAAATGAAGCAATACATGCTGAGATACACCCTATTCTTTCCAAAAAGTGCATTGCAATGCTTTTGTCCCTGACTGGTAAAATAGTGAAAAGTGACCTTTTGATGGGGAAATATGATTACATAATAAACCACATGATCATCCAGATGATTTGTCAGCATGTAAACAATGACAAACATTGGACTTGTACCATTAACCCTCCCTCTTTTACCACAACTCATGAAATCATCTCTCTAGCTCACATGGTCATTTTATCAAGGAATTCTTATCAAATACTGGTGGCCACCACAGTGCCATCAGTATAACATGCTCTCAGAACCATCAGTGCCTTAAAAAACCTGCTGCCAGTCATTTCCTGGACTGTTTCCCCCCCATACCCAATGTGTTCTGGGACTAATCAGTACTTGGAAGGCTGAGAATGTTTTGGAGGTCAATCTGGCACTTCAGAACATGATGGACAAACCAGTCCCCTCTCAACCAATGCATTTCTGGCAAAGGAACACTGGTATGGAAGTTGGGGTGAGACAAAACCTCCTTGTGCTCTGAGCACCATAAGAGGGTTCACTAGATCTTGCTCTGATCTGAACTGTAGATGACTGGGGAAGGATTATTTGGTCATATGTGACCAAAGGCAATATTCAGGGCCAGATGGAAGCACAGGATTCTGCTCCATGGCAGTTCAGTAGCATATCCTTCTGATGACACCCAGGGGTAAAGCAGATTTTGTCTTTCCCTAACTTCCATACCACTGTCCCTGTGCCAGAAATGCATTGGTTGAGAGGGGACTGGTTTGTCCATCATGTTCTGAAGTGCCAGATTGACCTCCAAAACATTTTCAGCCTTCCAAGTACTGATTAGTCCCAGAACACATCAGGCATGGGGGGAGAAACAGTCCAGGGAATGACTGGCAGCAGGTTTTTTAAGGCACTGATGGTTCTGAGAGCATGTTATACTGATGGCACTGTGGTGGCCACCAGTATTTGATAAGAATTCCTTGATAAAATGACCATGTGAGCTAGAGAGATGATTTCATGAGTTGTGGTAAAAGAGGGAGGGTTAATGGTACAAGTCCAATGTTTGTCATTGTTTACATGCTGACAAATCATCTGGATGATCATGTGGTTTATTATGTAATCATATTTCCCCATCAAAAGGTCACTTTTCACTATTTTACCAGTCAGGAACAAAAGCATTGCAATGCACTTTTCAGAAAAAATAGGGTGTATCTTGGCATATATTGCTTTGTTTGGACTGAGCCTTAGTGATCTAAAAAGCTTAGAGTCACCCCTTTCCAATGGTATAGGTATCATGATTATCTGTGCAGAATAGCCCAAGCTACATTGGCAGCAAGTCACACCTTACAAACATTGCGATGCTTTTGTCCCTCACTGTAGTAGGAGTGGTTTCCATCATGTGGATGCAGTTCACAATGAACAGTTTAAGTCCCTGAGAGAAGAACTCGATCAGGGTTACATCTTGGGTGATGGTTGAATCAGTGACAGTGGTGCAGAAGTCAGTGATGTATTGTTCAACCAAATTGATCTGTTTAAGGGTGTGTAATTTTGTGATTGCAACACCTGCAGAATTGGGGGAGGTAAAGGATGCCTTGAAGGCAGTGACAAAGTCAGTGAACTTCCCAAAACTCAGGTGAGTCTTTTCAAGGGAAGTTTTCTGGAAGGTTGCTGCCCAAGAGCATGCAACTCCCTTCTTCATATATGACAATGTGTAGATGACCTGCTTGGTGTCAGTGTCATAGACTTCTTCATTGACCATGAGATAGGTCTGGACTGAAAACAGCCAGCTCATGGCATTCTTTTGGTCACTGTCAAGATCAGATGGGGCACCAATCTTCAATTCAGTGGCCTTGACAGCAGTAGTGCCAGTCATTGCCTTTGATGATGAGGTGGACACTGTATTTTGAGGTGGGGATGGGAGTGCAGGAGTTGAGACAGGGGTAGGTACAGGTGGGATGGGTGTACTGAGTGAAGAGAGGGACTGGGTGGAGAGGTTTGAGGGGATACCAGAGGTAAAGCCTCTATCTGGTTGTTCTGGTTCATTGGAGGAGGTGTCTGTGACAGTGCTCTCCTGTTCTTCATCAGACAATAATTCTTCTTGTGTGGGTCACAATGGCACCTGATGTCAGTTGTTTTGGGGGTTCATAGTGGTACACCGAGGGCAAAGTTCTGAGAGAATGCTG